GTGATGTCCTCTAACACGAAAGTACCGACGTAAAAGCGCTGTAGAGACGATATAAAAACAAAAATTTAAGTGAATCGAGCTTTGTAGTGGAACGGAAAAAAATAAATAATTAACGACTTTTTACGGTAATCACTTTACCTCTAAGTAGAACTTCAAAAAAGTGACGGTTACGCGCTTTCATGCCCATTTCGACAAAGTTGGTAGAACGATGTATTGCATCTTGTGAATAGACATGTGGAGCAGCATGTTTATGTTAGAGGCATTGTGTGTAATCGCTGCGCAGTACCTGCCAAAAGAAGATATTATTTGGGCAGTCTCAACCGTTTCCGTCTGTGTGTGCTACGAATACAGCAACTCTTTTCGTAGAAGAAGTGATGACGAAATGGCGTGCCCTTGATGATACGACTGTGATTATGAAATAAAATTTTTAATCAGCCAATAATTGCGACCTGTCCGGTCGCCTGGAACCCCGACAACAACTATCGTCCTCTGGAAAGTTCATTCCAATATTTACACGTTTTGTGGAGTTCATCGAGCGAATAAGAATGTTCCAACAATGAGCTAAACCTACACGAGTTCCCGAATCCAACACGGCGCTTTTGAATTTTAGCGCCTTAGATAGTTCTGCGAACAGTGTATACTTCTGTGCAAATATTCGTCTAACAGTTTTGCAACGTTGGAAAGCATCGGAATGATTCAGAATCACTGTGGAGTTGATACTCGGGAAGATAAGACGGGCACTTGGGAGAAACGGACCGTGGCATTTGAGACAGGGGCACAACCGGGGGACAAACGTGCTACAATCGCATACCCTTCCAAGGTCATCGCTTGGGCGACCGCGCGCGCGCCCAAGAAACCTTTCTTTTTTTCTTTTTAGGGGTGGTGGTGGGGCGGGGGGGGGGAGGGGGGGGGAGGGAGGGAGGGAGGGAGGGGAGGGGAGTGGTGTAGGCGCTGATTGTCTTCCTCCTTTGTGGCTTTTGACAGACGCACAACGAGACTGGCAGAACAAGCGCATGATTCATTTCTTTCGATGGAGGCGTTCTGTCTGTGTATGCGAGCATGATTTTTTTCCCCTTTTAGTAGTCAGTTGTTCTTGCCTTGACTCGGGTCCCGGTGGGTGCGTTGTCGTTGTATGCCCACTATATATTTTTTTTTTTTTTTTAGTTTATGGTAGTTTTTGCGTTCATGGGGTATCAAGGTAGACAAAAAGAAAAAAAATAAAATAGCGCCTCGACAAAAAAAAAAAAAAAAGTTGTTGCGATCAGGAACGTTTTCAAAGCGATTTTAGGAGCCTGCAGTGTTACCACAGGTGCAGGATTGAGAGCGTAACCCACGCACTTGAAGAGAAGGGGAAGCTCTCGTCTTATTGGAACTCTCTTTTATGGGTTTCCACGTCGCGATTGTCCTTCAAAATCAACTGTCATTTATTTCTCGCTCGTGGCTTCCAAGTACTGGAAGCCACGACTCGAGCCACAATAGTTTTGCGAAATCAAGGTTTCGCTGAAATGGATAACTCTCACGTACAGTTCGACGCGCAATACCTTTGCCGTATTGACTCGCGAGAGATGCCCCCAACACGGCTGAGTATGGCGGTTCTCCAGACCTAACATCTAAATTTTGTTGCCTTACCTGTTACTATTTCGCGCCCATTTTGAGCCATATCAAAATGAAAGCGCATGATAAAATAAAAATGACACTCGTTTTCCGCTCGATGGAAATTTCACGCCAGCTCGCTGTCTTTGCTGGTACCTTGAGCGTTTACCAGCAATGCGGAGAGTTAAAAAAAACAAAAACAAAAAAACACGTACGATGGCATCCTTTGCACACTGATTACTTCTATAACACTGAGCCACCTCGTATCCTTTTGTTTTTCTTTCATGCTACTAATTTCTTTGTGGGCGGCATTACGGCTGTTACGACGCTAAGTCTGTCTGCCCTTCGAATTTGAACTTAGGCTCAGATCAGGGACGAACCAGTTTAAATCGGGAAAATATAATTAACACTGTAGCAAAGTAAATCTATCATATCGATCGGAAATACGATTTAGCACATTCCATCTGAACACATATTGTGCACAGCGAATGCAATAGCGAGTCAGCGTGCAAAACGCCACCACACTGAGCTACCATAACATGTCAGCGGTTTTTGCATAGCACCGAGCACGGAAAAGAGAAAACAGTTATTCATTCACATAAACGAAGCAAATTTATTTAAAGCCCGGACACTTCGTACGTCCAATCTAGCTAAGGTTATCAATAGACACGACCATGTCATTTGTCGAAACGGATAAAAGACCTTGGCAAAAATGATTAGACTGAATAAGTGAATCTAACGCACGTATTTTACCAACCGACGGTCGCGCGCCTTCAATACCCTTTCCGATTGTCATTGCGCACCTTGGACACAGTTTGGGGAGCAATGCATATTTACATCGCCGCCCGAGGTCTCCATTGAACGTGTAGTGCTGACCCAAATAAAATGCTAACCTGACTCTCAATCGCTCACCGCAAAGGACGATTTTGAACAGGCGGTACTGTAGGTCACTTGAGAAAGAAAAAAAGAAAACCAAGCTATAGAAACGAGCGTTGTAAAAAAGGGGAGCGGCATTTTTATTCCTACCTCCGAACAGAAACGAGCGCCACCCACTGCATCACACAGCGCAGAGGCCGGACTCGGCCACCGCGCGTACATACCAAGCGCGCGCGAGGGAGGGAGAAACTTCCTCCGCCGGGAGAACACGGCACATTTCGGGATCTATTTCACGCAGCGGATAACGCGGGCCTTTTCACACCTCGATACTGGCGCCATCTAGAAGTTGCGCGTTCAACCACGTTTCGAGCCGCGGGCCATCTGGTGGCTGAAACGGACAAATAAATAGAGGTACCGCGCCCTCTTAAAAGGCTGCGCCAGGCAAAAGCCGCTCATTTCTTTCAAAATGTGTGACACACTTGAGAGAGAAGTGTACTAGTCTGGTGAAATAAACACTTTCCTCAAACTATGCTTTATTTTTCATCCAACATAAAATAAATTCTTTTACAAAGGTAAGTTGTCTCATGGCATGTATTTTGGCCTGAAAAACTGATGTTTTGGTTATAGCGCGATACCGCTTATAGACCGACACGAGGGCTTGACGTCACGGCGCTGCGGCGGCGCTGCGATCGTGCCGGAGCCGAGGGGTGTGGGCAAAAGGGAGCACGTTTCGCATGGGCGTCATAGTATTTCAGTATGCCGCGAAGCTGTGTTGCCGTTAATCACACCAAAATGTACAAGAAAAGTGCCGGAGTGCGCTTCTACAAGTTCCCGGCACACTCTGAAAGGCATAGAAGGTGAATAATATCCGTGAATCAAAAATTATGGTCACCTCGCGCGTTTGTGCGGCAAGCACTTTCTTGGAGGCAAGTGTGGCTTCCGTTTCAATCTCTGTCCCGAGGCTTGCTTATGTGCAGGGAAACCGTCCTCTGATCGAGACCACCCGGATTTCCTTCCCACGGTGTTCGCGCACAAAGCACCGGCCAAGCGCTCATCGGAGGCTCACTAGGCCCGTGCTACCCAGCAGAAGGGGATCGGCGACAGAACGGCAATGTTGTAGGCGTTACCAAAAAAAAAAAAGTAACGAAATACGTTACCCGTTACTTGCAAATCAAAGGTACGCGTTACTGAGCTATGTTGCCTAAAAATAAAAGAAACGCGTTACCGCTATTGATAAAAAGTAACGCACATTACTTTTTAAATTGTGATTTAACACGTTTTACGGCTTTGACGATACAGGTATGCATAAGCTCACATATCAAAAAACATAATGTTCATGCACAAACAGAACATAATTACTTTATCTCTTTCTACGGTTTCACCTAAAGACTGACGAGAAAACACGCAAAGAAAAACATGGCTTGACGCCAAAAAAGACGGAAAAACTTGAAGTGTAATTGTAGTAACGAGTAACGTAACTATGTTACTTCACATAGTAACGTATGTTACCCGTTACTGTGTCAAAAAAGTAACGAGTAGGTTACTACGTTACTGAAAAAAGTAACGCGTTCCTGGTAACGTCGTTACTTGTAACGTGTTACCGCTGAGACTGCAGAACGGACAACGCGTTACTGTTTGTCATGCCTTGTGGTCATGAGAGTAGGAAAAATAGCATACCTTGACTTCAAGACGCTGTGTGTATTTATTTAATTAATAAATACACTTCCGAGTACCGACAGTCTGCTGATCCTCTCGAAGTAATCGTAGGCCTTGGGAGACTCTTACGCCTACTCCGTGTCGGCCGTGAACTGGCTTGGCGAAAAACTAAATAAACGACGACGTCAGCCGTCGACTTCGATGGCAGCCACTTCACGTCGAAAGTCCAGCAGGCCTTGTTTGCGGCATACGAATCCTCGTAGGCAATGCCGTCCATGCACAGTTTGTTTCGATACCGCCGTCGTTCAGGCTCATGTAGCGAGCTCAAATAGTCGGGCATAGCATACGACATATGTTGCCAGGAAATACGACTCACAAACAAAGCTAGAAGCGTCCCTACAACGTCAACAACGAGCGTGCGCCACAGAACGCAATGGCGAAAACACTGAGGGCCAGGTTCTTTTGCCCACACAGCTACCGCGCATGCGCGGCCTCCCGGCCGTGTTGGTAAACAGAGCCGCTCCGCGTGTCGGTCTATAGTGCGGATTTTCACGACTCCCTTGACATACGTTATATGCGGTCTACACTGTAAATGAAGCAGAGCAATGTGCACTTTCGTCTCAACCCAGCTATTAACTCAAGTGAAACCGCAGTCAATGCAAGCAAGGCTGCTAAAAATTATACGCTATATTTAGGCTCACTTACACCCAGAGCCCGATATTTCATGGAGTTCATGCGGCATGCCAATTTCATGTCAATATGAAGGACCACAATTAATAAAAAAAACACGAAACAAATATCTACTTAGCTGTCACATTAGTAACAGCTGCGGCCAACATGTGGTAATTGCTGAGGATGGGCAAGTGGTTTCCTACCTTGAGATTCTCTCGGTAGTTAAAGTAGATGACGGCCAAGATGATGTTCATGAAGATATACAAGCAGATGAGGGTGTACACGACAAAGAAAATTGCAAACAGAGAATTATCGTTGTAAGCCGGCATCCTGAAAAAGAAACACAAAACAATTTGTTTCTCATTCGAGTGGGATCCACATTAATGCGCCGGAAGTTTGTCCGAACCGCAAAGGAGATATGCTTACATCACATCCGGATGGTTTGCCGTGGTGACTAGAACATAGAGGCTGAAGTAGATGTCGAAGTAATCCCTAAAATATGGCCGCCCGTCGGGATAAAACAGGGACCTGTTCATAAAAAGAAAGATTGTCAGCCATCCCGTCGCATAAGCAAATGGCCAGTTTAAATGGGAATCAGCAACAGAGTTCCAAAAACAAACTCGATACAGTCAGAAGTCGGTCTACGATCGAACACAAAAAGCGTGGGCCATTGCACCGCAAGGGGGAGAAAAGAAGGGAGGTGGACGTGCTGCAATGCACCACGCAATGCCACGCACCTCGCCCACCCAACCCCCCCATCACGGACATGTAGCAAAATAAAATAAAAAAAACTTGTTGCCGCTCGGACAACTCGCGGCGTTCCTAGCGCCTTTGTTTCTTTTTTTTTTCTTGTCTTTCGTAGCTTCGCCTGTTTCTACCTTCTTCCGTTCCTTGACGTTGTCGCCATTTCGCGAGGATGTCAGCGAGGTATTGTTGCGAGTTTGTATCTCATCTTCAAAACTGGCGTCAAAAATTGCTGCATTTTGAATGCGTCCGAACGCATTGAAGACGACGTTGGCCGGGGTGGCAAGGATGTCGATGAAGCCAACGAAGCTTTCGACGACGACAAGTCCGGAAGTTCCGATAATGACAAATTTTTTGGCATCAAGCTGCAATTTAGCTGAGAGTGCCGTAAATAAAAATTTGTTTCTCTCTTTGCCTACACTTCCCTCCGTTCTTACAATAAAAAAAAAAAGTAGCTGAATGTGCTTTTTTTTTTTTTTTTGTTCTCGGCAAGTTAAATATAAGTAGGGTGTGTACTTTCCGGTGTTTATTTGTGAGAAAAATCGGCGGATGTTTTTCGGTGTTTATTTATTTTCAAAACACCGGTGTATTTCGGTGGAACGTCTCACGACGAGGCTAAAATCGGTGATTATCGGTGGAAAAAAATGCGCTTGATCACAGACACAGAGTTCCAATTATATTCACATATTTCATACACTTCTTTTTTAGGAAGCATTTATTTCTCACACTTGGTTATTATAGTAGATGCAAGCATACCTTGAGAGGCTTGCATCCGTCATGGCAGCACGTTCCTTGCGGTTCACAACCCACAATTATGAAAACGCACGGTCCTCTATGACACGGACGTTGGCAGTGTCTTCCAGGAACCACAGCAACCTCTGAATACATGGCTTGCACCGACATCACTTGGCTAGACACAATGGGGAAAAGGCACGAGAGAGCCTACCCTCCACCGCGTTAATTTTTCCACAAAAGGGGGCCATGGGAGACACAATAGAGGGAAGGCGTGTGAGAGCTTAGCTTCCACTGCGTTCACTAAACGCTTTTGACCCCCAGAAAGGAGGGCGCACTGACGCCAAGTGCAAGCCATGTATAAACACTGGAAGGATGCAGGATCCACGAGATAACACGTTTGACGAACCTCTACGGGGAAAAGGTTTCGCTAGGTCGGAATCATGCCACGACCGGTGTTTTTCGGTTTTAACCAGAACGAAAAAATCCAACCACCGGTGTTTTTCGGTTTTAACCGATTTTATATTTTCGTCACCGACGGATGTTTATCGGTGTTTTTCGGTTAAAACCGGAAAATACACACCCTAAATATAAGGGCGTTGACCTATATTTGAGGAAATAGTCCCCAAAAGAATGCAGCAGATAGAGTCAGAAGCTTCAGGCTCACTTTGTTTGAGACACTGGATATCTCGCTGGGTTTTGCCGAATATCGGCGCGCTCGGCCAACAGCTACCCAAACAGCAAAAAGGGATTCTAGCTCCTACTACTACTGCTAATAAAACATGGGCGTAGGATTTCTTCCCCCCCGGGGACCGGACGCGCGACCCAAATACTTGAAAAACACCCCCCCCCCCCCTCCCCCCCATAAAGAAAAACAATGAAGTAAGGGTAAGGGATGGGGTTCCGAAGAATGAAGCAGTCTTGCAGGCAGTTCATTCGAGGCAGTGTTCCGAAGCAACAGAAAATAAAGCCGTGGATACAAATTTTCTTTCCGCAAGACTTGAGCTTCTCATCTTGGTTTTAAAAGCGCACAAAAGACGAGGACAGAGTAAGAAACACAAACGACGGACAAGCGCTCACTGGCAACTGATAGGTTTTATTGGAATCTCAGAAAACACAAAAAGCATCCGTCGTTTGTGTTTCTTACTCTGTCCTCGTCTTTTGTGCGCTTTTAAAACCAAGATGAATAACTACCTAGCCCAACTTTCCACCCTACTTGAGTTTCTCTCATTCCAGGGCAGCTCCAAGTCAACGTTTTTTGTTTTTCCACAATTTTTTATAGCAAGCAGATACGGAGTTAGTACTTAGGGTTCGTCGGTATTTACCAGTGTTACGGAACCGTAGCCGCGATGCACAAGAATTCAGTGAGCATCCACTCACAAAGTTGAAAATAATAAAGTTGAAAGCTGAACTAGTTGGTAGCTATTGTGGATGGTTATGAAAACTAGTGCAAAGGACAAGGACAAAAAAGGGACATACACGACTGGACAAGTGCTGACACTCAACTATTAATTTTTTCACCTATAGAAAAGACAAACAAGCAACGCACAAGCCACGTGTGCATCTTCCACCCCTATTAGATGCTCACTATGGCATGTGCTGGCCCTTCATTGTCATTTTCAGGAAATCCTGCTCATTTTGTACTTATATAAAAGAAGATGCACATGTACGTAAAAAATGAATTGTTGCTAGCCACCACATGTCCTGTTGTGTATGTTCCTTTTTTGTCCTTGTCTGTTGTGCCGCTTTAATAGACCGATCTCACCAAGCGTTTGGCGCATGCGTGACGCCGCCATAACTTTAGTTTGCACGAGGCAGGCAGCAGTGCACAAGACGGCTCGTGCCGCCTCATGCTCCACACGCGCAGAGCTCCAGCGAGGTTGTTGCACGTGCAGAAAGACCAAAGCTCCCTCGATGCATTGCGGCAGCGGTGGCGTAGTCAAACTGGCTGGTGAGATCTGTCTATCGACATGTACAAAAGTTAAAGATACCTCTCTATCTAATAACACTGAAGCAAAGCGTGTAAATGCAAACCAAAAGTGTGAAAAAATTAGTGCACACAAGTCCACGTAGAAGGAATAAAAAGATATCTTGGAACAGCAATGTGGTGCCACCTGAAAGCAAGGATGTGCAGTAATACATCATCAGAGCTCACAATTGAGAGAAGGTGCACAAAGCAGCTGCAGTTACCACTGCCACCGTGGTGTGCATTTTGCGCACCCCATTTTTCGTGTGCGACACCTGAGCTTGATGATCTACAGGAAACTGGTTACATTTTTACCCAGAAAAGCAGAGAGCTGCAGGTACCTTCGTTGAAAGAGCTTGAGCGCCAGCAGGGAGAAGAGCGCGATGCTCATGAAGAGCAGGATGAGTGCATACACAATCTCCTTGAGCGTGTTGCGAATGTTGCGCACGGCCCGACGCACCTTTGAGAAAGACACAACATGGCACCTTTAGAGAAGAAACATGGCACATTTAAGGAAGAAACAAGAAGCCCTTTTTGGGAAACAAACAAGATACAGAGGAACCTCGATTATGCATCCCCGGTTTATACAACACCCCACATTTTACGACGAATTTGCTTGGTCCCGATGAACTCCCCGTAGAAATAATGTATTAAAAGTTTGGTTTAAACGACGCGTGATTCTATGCATCCCGCATCATACGATGTTTCAGTGGGAAACGAGCAACGAATTCGACGGCTGCATGAGGAGGGGGGAGGCGGTGCAGTAATGTTTGTGCCACCTGTGCACCGTTTCAGAAGGTCCCAAGACAGCCGCAGTGCCTGGAGGAAGCAGAAGACAGTACTTTCCCTTCTCCTCCCTGGGTTGTGAAATGCGTCAGCATTTTCACATTGCGTTCTTGCTCCGCTCATCCCATACTCGTCCCATCATTCTCTTGTCTCTCGTTGACCCTCTCACTCCTCTGTGCACCACTTTTTCCAACTCGTTACTTCTCCCAGGATTGAGCACGCTTCTGCTGGTTCCCGCCGTTACCGCTTTCGAAAAACATAAAAAGCGACAAGGATCCCTTCATTATTAGCTTAGACATCATTCAAAACCTACACTTGCCTGTTTTTCGCGAGGCTGATCACTGTATCCCTAATTAACGTTTTTCGGATGATAAGACTCACGGATTATACGATGATTGCATGCGGTCTTGTAAAAGTTGTGTAATCGGGGTTCCACTGTAGCACTTTTAGGGGAGACATGGCACTTTTAGGGAAACAACACGGTGCATTTAGAGAAGAAAGATAGCCCTTTTAGGGAAGAACTGAGATAACAACTTTAGAAAACAAACATGGTACCTTTAGGGAAGAAACAGGATACAGTATAGACCACTTACAACGTAACCGCTTATAGTGCAGGACCGGGTATAACGTGGCTATTTTAAACCACCGGTTCGCCTCCCATAGAACTCCACGTAATTACATACCGCCTAAAATGCAGGCGCGCGAAGGGAAATACCGGTTATAGTGCAGTTTCTGGAACAGCCTGCTGACCGCACGCTTCTCTGCGCGACACTAGATAACGGCGCTAGCCGCGAGCTGCACTCGGCGGGGCAAGGAGGTTGCTCGAAGAAGCGGGGAGAAGCGAAGAGGGAGGCTTCAGTTGCCATAGCGACTGAGGGAGGCATGGACGTGTCGTAAACGAGCGTGCGTCCCTCCGCTGCATTGGAAACAACCGCAACGACAGATTAATCGCAGGTCGAGGAGAAGTGTTCGCGCGCATTGCATGCCAATCACGGGCCGGCTGCTTCTATCCGCAAACATGGCGTCGGTTGTGATCGTCGCTCATCGTTCCACATAAAAGCGCTATCCTTGACAGTGAATTTTCGTTGTGTGTCGCTATGATAACCTAGCACGTACTAGAAGGGAAGATCCACCTACTCGTGCGGCGATGTTGTGGCGGCACTCTCAAAACGGCAGAAACGCCCGTGTCGTCGTGTTTGTTACTTCGACAACAGTGGTCCTTTCTAAGCATTTGTGTTTTCAAACATCGCCCGGATTTCTTATTTGGAGCATTTCGTGCCTGTGCTCAAGTTGAAGGTATTACTGGCGCGTACCGTATAAAGGATGCGAATTTTCACGTGTTTTCATCGCCGGAGAAAAGTGATTAGGGTTAGCAATTCTGACGTTAGCAACGTCCGTCCGCAACCCGCGACGCCGTTAAAAGGCTGTGCCAGGCGAAAGTCGCTCATTTCTTTCAAAATGTGTGACAGACTTGAGGGACAAGTATGGTGAAATAAAGACTTTCCTCAAACTAAGCTTTATTTTTCATCTAACATAAAATAAATTGTTTTACAAAGGTAAGTTGGCTGATGGCACGTATTTTGGCCTGAAAAATTGATGTTTTGGTTATAGCGCGGTACCGCTTATAGTGCAGATTTTCGCGACTCCCGCGACATACCGTATTTGCACGAATATAACGCGAGTTTTTTTTCGAAATTACGTGCTCCAAAACGCACCTCGCGTTATATTCGGAATCGAGTTCAGCCACGAGGCGCGCGAGTCTGGAGAAAGCCAGAGGGGAAAGTAATCCCTCTGGCTCAATGCAAAAGATCCAATGGAAAAAGAAGTGGGGGTGTGGAGGGGCATTTTCTAGCCATGGGGCCACGTGAAGGGGCGAATAGAAAACATAAAAAAGCATTTTTATCGCTTTTGTGTTTTTACAACCCGCGCACGCCGCACGCGCGCGCGCCATGCGGGAATGCGGGCACCGGCCAGTTCGAGCCAAGCCAAGCCGGGCCAAGTCAAGTCAACACAAGCCAAGCCAAGACCACCGACCGCGTTTACGCGATCGTGCAACACGAGGCATTTGTTTACGAACAGGGATCAGAACAAGAAGTGTGATCGTGTATCGGGTTCAGCAGTCTTTTTTTCTGCCTGCGCATTGTTTAGTTTCTGCTCCAGAGTGGTCTGGTGTTTGTGTGTTGGTGCTTCTGCTTCCGTGCCTTGTTTGGATTGTGGGCTGCCGAGGAGCTCCCACGGAAGAAAAAAGAACTACCAGGCAAGCAGGTGCCGTGCTGCTGCATACCTGCGTAGTCGCCAAGTGGATTGTAAACGGAAGGACCTGAACAGTGAGGATGAGTGCAGTCAAAACATAAACTGATATTTCTTCTATTTCCATTGACTTTTCACTTCTGCTATGCCCCCGAGTGCGAGAAATTGACGCGGCATCGGTTCGCGTTATAATAGTAATAATATTTTTTTTCTTTTTGGGCGCATCAAAAACTGCCCTCGCGTTATATTCGTGGTCGCGTTATATTCGTGCAAATACGGTACGTTGTATGCGGTCTACACTGTAGCACCATTAGGGAAACAATATGGTGCCTTTAGGGAAGAAACAAGGTGACATCTTTAGGGGAAACATGGCACCTTTAGAGAAAGAGCATGCTGCATGTAGAGCAGAAAGATAGTCATTTAGGGAAGAAATGTGATATCAGCAGTAACAAAACATGGTGCCTTTAGGGAAAAGCAAAAGCACATATCTAGGGAAAAAACAACCTTTAGGAAGATAGCAGTGTGCCTTCAGGAAAAAAAAGCAAGGTAGCACCTTTAGGGAAGACAAGATAGCACCTTTAGGAAAGAGACAAGATAGCATCTTTAGAAAACATTGCACCTTTAGAGAAACAATATTGTGCATTTAGGACAGGAATAAAGGGAAAAAGATACCAGCATTAGGGATGAAAAACAGCACCTTTTTGAAAAAAAGCTATCACATTTAGGGAAGAAACAAATGGCAGCTAGAAAACAACCCAACACAAGAGAACAACATAGTAGAACCTAATCTCATTGTTTCCGGCCGGTACATTTTTCTGGAGATAACTTTCCTTAATGCCGATCCCGCGGACTTTCCATAGACGTATGTGCCTTAATTTCTTATTTATTGAGTTTGCCTCCCGCCTGTTATATCCGGAAACTGACACCCGACATGACTGACGCAATATGTCGGGCAGCCCGGCCATTTCTGCCTTCGTCGATTTGCTACAATACCCCTCTTTTCACCTCTTTGCATTTCTGCACTGTGCTCTTTTCCCAGATGAACGTGCTTTTGAACTATGCTAGAAAGGGATTCAGGATTTCACTTGTTCAAGGCAAGGTATGCGTCACATCAAAGAAAAGTATGCAGGTAAGCTGATAAGGAAGCATCTTAATCTAAACACTGATATGTGGAGAAATAAAATAACAGACGAGACGACACCGACCTGCTTGTTTTCGGCAAAGTTGACCATGAGTAGTGGTCGAAGTGGCCTGGTACACCGGAGGGCCAGCATGCCAAAGCCGCTGCCGGCCATGGCCGCAAAAATGACCATGTCGACGATGGTCGCGCCCACCACCACCATGACCACCAGGTTCTTGGCGTCCTTCCAGAACACCTCGGCGCGGCTGAAGCTGGCGGCCTGAACCAGCCGGAAGGTGTAGAAGGCCAGGCAGCAGGACTCCACCAGCATCGTGGCCTGCGCACGTGCGACGCCACTCGAGAACACTGGTTGGGATGCTTACTGCAGTGCTAGGACTGTACAACTGATCAATTAGCTATTCATTTAATTAATTTCAGCTTTAATCGCAATCAATTTCTTACCCAGTTTGATCTTACTCCTAGTTGTGGCCATGTTAACATGCGACGACAAAGGCCAGTTCACACAAGCAGCATAGCGCGGAAATAACAAAAAGCTGTCAGTGCAGAGTTAGCACAGCATCGTATGTACATGCAGAAAAAGGCAGAGTTGCATGCCGCGGAGCACAGATACAGCTGGAAATAAGCGCCGTGTCTACAGTGCTGTATGTGCAAATCAGCCTTCATGACGAAGAAGCGGTAGTGCAGATGACGATTAAACAGACACTAAACTCCAAAAAAACATTCTTTTCGGCGATCAAATAGGACAAGAGTTTGGGCGGTCATCAGCCATTTGAGGCTCGAGCCTACCGAAGGTGGCCTACGGAAAACTATCTGACCCCAAGGTGAGGTCTAGGCCATGTCAAACCTGCGGCAAAAAAGTTGAGACAGTGGAGCATCTGGTGCTTCTAAGCGAGCACGTGCTGCCATCTACGACGAGACATTGCCTGCCCTACCCCGAGATGACGATAGCAAACGCTCCCGGTTTCACAATGACACCAGGAGCAAACAACATAATACTAGAGTCGCTGAGTAGTCAATGCTTGGAGTATCGACGCTTCATTACCCGACTGTCTCGTGCTGGCGGTCGTAACGACTGAAAAATGGCGGTCATTACGACTGAAACATGACTGGCGGTTGTTACGGCTACAAAATGTGACTTTCCAAGCTTTAGATGAGATGCCGGGAAGCTCGGGCGATATTCTTCTGCTCTGTCACAAACTATTTTTACTAGGGGTGTGCAAATACCGAATAGTAGTTTTCGAATCGAATACCAAATCGAATCAAGAAAAAAAGCCGAATATCGAATAGAATATTGAATAGTGATTTTATTTGTAGGAATTTTTCAAAGTGTGATGCGAATGAGATTATTATATGTGCGAAGTATGCTCCTGGTGCAGAATATGCGTCTTGTACAAAACAAAAGCCAAAATCTAAAAAGATTTCTGGCGAGAAAAAAAAAAAAAAAAAAAAAGCAGTTGCTGTTGGACGTTGGGCACTAAAGATCCCAATTATTGATGCAAACCTAATCTATCTACCCTAAACTTCACAAAAAGCCAAAGTTACAGCCACGCGTGCCTTTTTTTTCTCTTTAAAAATACCGCGCCTTTTTAAACATATTTATATATCTCGGAAAAGGGGCATTTTGCGATAGTTGGCGCCCGGGATTTGATTTCACATAAATAAACAGATAGGTGTTAAATCTGAGTAAACAGGCTTAAACAGTATAATCGCAACTAAGAAAAAGAACATGGTTAGGTGGCGCAAGTCACCGTCCAACTGCCGCTATGCATTCATTTTTTCGTCTATCTATCCCGTTTTAGAGAGCCTTGATTTAAAAGAGGGAGCAACCGAAACTGAAATCACGGAGACTGCTCCACCGCAGATTGATCGTGAGTGCGTATGTGTTGTGTTCTCGCGTGGAAAGAAGGCGAGCAAACAGAAGAGCGACGATGCCTGCCCTCCCTGCCCGATCCCGATCGACGCTTTCGTCTTTTCGTCACCTTTTCGCAGTTCGTAATTCAAATGCGGCTATCAAACTATTGGAAACCCTCTCAAATCTAGGCACACTATTTTTCCGTTCCGTTTCGTTCCGAATCAGAATTTGCGGTTTCAAGCAGTGTTGCCAATTTAGCGGTTTCCCCGCTAAACTTAGCGGTTTTTGCTTCTGTTTAGCGGGTAAATAATTGTTTTGCGGGCGGCGGGTTTTTTAGCCGGTTGTATGTAATCTTGGCGGTTTTTTAGAGATATAGAAGTTTTATATCGATATACTGTCAACTATGCACCTGTCATACCCCTAACCAGCCACAGTCGTCTTTGCTCACTATCAGTAATGCTCTTGTCAGTGACGCTATCGAAACATTAAGGCGTTAAATATCGGAACATGCCTCCATTTTGTGTGCGCACGTTTGAACAGCATGAATATTCCAATGTTCCTTTGACGTTTTCGTCACTGCTTCGTGAAATGGGCAGGGTGAAGTCCACTCAAAAGTTTAGAGAAGACTGGCTGCTGGAGGTTCCTGGTGATAGCAGACGAGCCAGGTGCCGCTATTGCAGAACGGAACTATCAGCGAAGCACGTGGATTTCGTCGCGCACGCTGAAACAAAGAAGTATGTTTGGGCCGCTGCACCTTTCTCCTCAGGGAGGCAGATAACTATGAGCTGAACGGAAGTCTGACGAGTCACGCACTGCTGAAGGGTCCCTTGCCATGTTCGTATGAGCTCACTCGGCAATTTTGGCTTCGGATCAGCTGGGTGAACTGTGGCATGGCGTGACAGATTTCTAGTCATACCAAAAGGAAAGCTTCCTTTCAGATCGCATTGATATGATCTATAGTGTTATTATACCTTAGGCCAAGAAATAAAGCAAAACAAAAATTGTTAAAAGGTCATTTTTGTGCTGTGTTTTGGATTTAGCGGTTTTTGGGATTCCGACTGCGGGTTTTCAATTTTTGAGTTGGCAGCACTGGTTCCAAGAGAAGCAAGAGAATAATGACGATAACTTGGCTGGTTTCATTGGCATGGTAACGTGGTTTTCTTTCTGTGATCGTGCAGTCGCCGATTTCTGCGAGTGCGGCAAGTGTGTTTTACATTGGCGCTTTAATTTGAAACAAGGGGCTTTATTCGTGAAAAGAATTAAGATTGGCGTGGAATTCCAGCTTCCCAACAATTCCTCTCGGGAAGCGGCGCTAACGGGATGTTTCGGTTGTGATTCAAGGCTAGATTTTGTCACGATTGTGAGCAAATCTGCGTGCTATAAAGTTTGTGGCGTTCGTTACTTTTCTTTTTTCCAACATGTGCATTAGACTTTTGTGGAATGGTAGGACCAAGAGATGTTTCTGGCATGGTCTGTCTAACATCACGGCGCTTACATCAGGAGAAAAAATAGCTTTTTCGTTTGCTCCGTGCGGACCGCGCGTCTTTGGCCGAATATGTCGAATATTCGAGTAACCGAATACTAGGAATTCGATTCGCGAATCGAATTATTTGGGAACTTCCTATTCGATTCGAGTTCGTATATTCGAGTATTTGCACAACCTTAATTTTTACTTTTCTGAAGGACTGAAAACCCTTTTCTGCGGTCTCAAAATGCTTCAGGCAACTGACAACAATAATTTTTATCACCGAAACGGCTGAAGTGTAGTTACTCTGAAGCGTACCTTATTCGGTGCCTCTAGTGGATACAGGCAGCGCCAAGGCAGCCAGTACAAACTCCAACCCCGGTAACGCAGCCACATTTGTCTACCAAAGGGCGTGGCAGGACGGTAGTTGATGCATACAATGCGTACAGGGAACGAAGGCAAGGCTGGAGTGCTGGTGGCATAATTTCTCGGACAATAAGGGATATTTTTTTTCATCTTTTTTCTTTTAAATTTTGGCTAGGGCACAAAGATTATTCGAGCTCGCCCACTACAAGGAGAGAAGCCGCACTATCACCACTATTAAATATCTCGGGCGGACTCAAGCTCAACCTTGGGCAGCACCCGGCCATACTTTTAACGGCACCACAAATGTCAAACTTGTGCACCAGTCCCATGCTTCGAAAGCCCAAGTGTTAGGTAATGGCATCTCCTGGCCACCAGCCAACACATTACAATTATCATCATCATTATCGCCAAATACAAATTTCGGCGACCTGCAGAAGTTATCAATCATAAGCGATGGATGCCCTATGGGTGTGGCAAGAAGAGTTAAACTGAAAAAGGCCCTTCAAATGAGCGGGGAGACGATCGAGGAAATTTGGACATTTGAGGAAGCTCCCGGGAACGCTACAGTAAAACCCCCACATTTCCGAGAGTTCAGGTTGAGAAGCCACGCTGTTCATGAGCTTAATATTGTTAAAAAGCAGAGGAAAAGCCACCTTTGGCTGCAAGGATTATGCAAGGAGCTTGAGTGCGAGGCAGTTGGCTCTTAGACAATCTTCAAAACAAGTCAACTTTCGATCTCCCTCATCATTAAACCCCCTCCCATTCTATAACCTTTCAAGTGAAGTATGTCACTTGACACAAAGTACAACCGGGTGGGTAATATGAAGAAGTATAATATAGGTTGCACAATAAGCAATCCAGAAAAAACAAATTCTTGTACAAGTCCGCACCTGTGGACAGACTGCACAGCGTAAAATTTCAACTTTTAAACATGTATAGTTTCCGGACGAGTCTAAGAAATATGCTACTGCTCACCATCATCACCATGAACGTTTGGTTATCCCAACTTTCAAAGTGACGACATGATCGGCATGGTGAGTTGGCACGCCTTTGCTTACTGTTGCGGGCACAAAAAGCCTACCCAAATGGGAAGTTCCCAGCCGCTGACTGCGGGTCTCTCGAAGACTGCCAGCAGATGGTGGACCATGATGAAGACATAGAGCAGGAGCTGCAGCGCCCAGTGGTGGTACATAGTGTAGATCCTGCGGCAGACGAAGCGGGACACATCGCGGACAGAACTGGGAAATGTTTCGTTATATGCGCTCTCGCAACCTTCCTCAGGTAAATGACGTTCTGGTGACCAGGAATTGTGAGCCACAGTTGCAATCCCCAAGCTTTAATCTGTTAGCTTAATCTATAGCGGGAACATTAAAGTGTTTTCGGAGATTGTCTATTTACGGTCATAACTCAATCAACAGGCTCAAAGCAATATAAAAAATTGACTGCATGTTTGGCCATTCTGCCATATGCATTTAAATGTGGTAGCTTTATAGAGCGGGTGGCGCTCTTAGTTCGGGTGGTGTCTAGGGCAAGGTTTAGTATGAACACAGATTACATCACACCATTGTTTCTTTGTGACGCTGCGCACACTTCCCTTCAGCAACCCCTGAATTTTCTGGGTAACCAAGAGAGGGGAAGTGCGCTTTCCTGCCCTTTCCACTCTGTTCCACGCAATCTTTCAAACCACTTGTTTCTGCACCCCTCTTTCTTGCCCTTTCCACTCCGCGCACTTTCTCACACCACCTGCCTCTGCTCCACGCATTCCTGCGTGCTGGGTTCGTAGCTCAGTGAGCAGCACACTCGGCTTCCACGCCGATGATCAAGGTTCAATCCCTGGTACCGGCTGCTATTTTTTTCAAGATCGTTTAGCGATTACGAACTGACCGACCTACACATTTCGTGCTTAAGCAGCTCCTGAGGCTGGTTGGGCCTAAAAAGCTACCACTTTAAAACTAAAGAGTAGATTGGTATGAGTGCAATTTCCCGACTGAAAACAGAATAAAAAATTGCGACACACTCTTCTTTTTGCGATTCAGTGAAGAAACTAAACAGCGCCGCCACATGTGTGACAGCCAATCGTAAATGATCACTTCCCATGCGGCAAGGGGGCCGACGAGAGGCGGACTGATTTACGAATGTGCATGATTGGCTGCCTCATGTTCGACAGTGCCCTCTGGTTTCTGTGGCGAATTGCAGGAAAAAAGGCATGTCGCTATCTTTGATCCCAGGTTTAATAGGATGATAGGCCACGTGTCAATGTAAACTTGGTTTTCTTTATAATGCTTAGAGCTTGCAGATTGAGTTCCAGTCATGTGTCGATGATACAGACCCCATTAATATCAATACCCCAATATATAAAACACATTTCCGGTAAACAGGGTAAATACAAAAAGAAAGCCGTCCACTCTTCCGTGCAGGCTGGTGCCGTGATGCGACGTCACTTCGCCGCGCTCTGATTAGGGGATGGCTCCGGGCGGGAGCTCTGGGACTGGCGGAGGTAAACAAAGCGGTGTTGTCTGTTCTCCGTGGCCATTGGGGAAGGCCTTTCTGTGGCTCTCAAAAATCCACTGCTAGTTCGTGAATGAGGATGCGGCATACGGACAAAAAAGACCGGAAATACCTCAAAATGTATGTTACTTCGTTTGACGCAAAAAAATTCACCCTGGGAGCATTTGAAGCACAAATATGTGTCCCAGTCTCCGGCGGTTGTACGTTGAAGTGAGCCCCTCCAATGTTAACATGGTAATGTGCGATGCGAGTGAGCCTTTCTACTCCCTGATGGAGACCCCCCTTCACTAGAAAGTGTCCCAGTGTCTCCCTGAAGCATCGAAATGTAGCTACATCCCTCTTCGGCGAGCTGAATGGGCTGCCAAGCTTTCGAAGGCCGATCTGCCGCAGCACATGCCCCCCCCCCCCCCCCCCCAAAAATTGCTAGTGTAGCGTATTGACCCCAACGCTGTGCTGGTGCAAGCACACAAGCACGCGAGGCACGAGACCGGACAAGGGTTCCGCATGCCATGCAAACACGTTCGAACATCAAACCGCCGTTTCTCATGCCTACCTTTTATAATAAAAGCCTATGGTGCGACAGTCCTTAAGCCTACAATGTGTTCGTCCCACTCTGTACGCAAAATTGGCAAAGAGGTAAGCCGATAAACATGCAGCAACGCCAGTGGCAGCGCTCAACCACTCCAGGTATGGCTTCAAAACTACAATTAAAAGAATTCACACCCCGAAGACCTGGCGTACAGGCTGAGCTATACTGACCGTCTGGAGTTCTTTTACAGCGGAACTGTTAAGGGCTAGGTTCCCCAGGATTGTGTCCAGTATGTTAACACAAACCTGTCTGGACAGCTACCGCCATCTATAAGCGGTGGCGGCAAGGACACAACCAGTCTGGTTACCGCCGTCACTCATAAATGGCGGCAACATTTCCAGCTATCATGGAAAAATGGATAGTTGGGCGCATTGGTGAAAATTTATCACAGGAAACAGCGCGAAAAACAGACGACGATGAAGAAGCACACGTAATGAGCGCAGCGCTCGTCACGTGTGTTTTTTCGTCTTCGTCTGTTTTGCGCGCTGTTTTCCACGCTCTTATCAGTTTCGGTTTGGACTCGGGATGGGTCGGCCGCGCACCCTTTAGGGAAAAGGAGACTGGCTGCGGGAGGAGCGGCGACGTACGCAGCAGCGCAAATGCGTCCGGAACCGTTGCAAAGCCGCTGTTGCCTCGATATCCGCTGCATCCAGCGCTTCAGGTTCCCTTGCCAAAGAAGAGCACATTGCTCGCCTGGAAAGCCGCCGCCGAGAACAGTACCAGCAATGTAAAGGGCGCCGGCAAGCCAAAGCCACGGACGACAATCGTGCCATGGAGGCAAAGCACAAGCGCGAGGCCCGGCGACAACAGCTGTCCACGCCGGCTGAACAGTTCCTGGGTGCGACGGTGAGGTTCCGCAGAGAGTTTGTTGCGAACCCGTTTGTGGTCACGTGCGGAGTGTGCGACCAACTCTGGTTCGCCGGAGACATATCCACGATCGGCGGCGTGTCGGACAAGAAGAAGCAGGAAACGGGTGCGTGCGCGTTGCGGCAGTGTATTGAGTACAGCTCCACTGGTCTTCCTTCTTCACGAGAGTGGAAAGGCTGAACGTTTTTTTTGTATATATACTTATAACTTAAACACTATAAGTGGTCTATACTGTAGTTGGTCACCCAGGCGAAAATTTCTAAGGCCCGCTTCAGACGGGGCAACTTTTCCAGCAATTTTGAGGTTGCTGGCGGGTTGTTCCACAGCCTTCCCTAGATCGCCGCGAATTGCTGAGATCGGGTCCGGCTCGAACAAGCGAGCAACTCGGAGCAATTCGAAGACGGTTGAAGCGGCTGCGGCCAATCAGAGACACAATATTTTCACGTGACACCCCTGTGGTGGTGATGACGACAGCTAAAGACTTAGTTTTGGTTTGGAATGGATCGTTTTCGGAAATTAACAGTTTCAGAAAAATAAGTTAGTATCAACGCCGTTCAAAGATAAAAGAACGCATTTTTAGCGCATAGCTGGGCGTCTAAATAGTGAAAGAAGAATCAAATTTAATGATGATGATGGCAAGTCGGAGCAATTCGGTTGCTGCGTGTGAACGCGGGCGGCCAGTGTTGCTGGTGTTGCGACGTCAAGTTGCTGGGTGAAATTGCTCCGTCTGAAGCGGGCCTAACTGGGACCAGTTGGCACCTCAACTGGTTTCAACTGGGACTAACTGGTACCAACTGGGAATGAACTGGGACCAATAGGAGTCCAACTGGGACCAGCTGAGGGGTCAACCAGTTTGAACCATTCCCAGTTGGGAGTCAACTGGTTTGACTCCCAGTTGGGAATGGAGTGCACTGAAACCAGTTAGGGAAGTAACTGGTTGGAGCGATTCCCAGTCGGACTTCAAATGCCTTTCCCGTTCCCAGTTCACACGGGGCAACAATTTTGACAAGTTGGGGTGTAATGACCTTTGCTAATGAAGAAAACTAAAAACACTTAAATTTTTAGATTTATACAAGTAGGGAAATTTTTAATTACTGGGTACATTTATATATTTATAAAAATATAAAAATTTTAATTAACTAAATTTTGTTTTTTAATTGGAAAATATAATTAGTGACCAAATGTGTTCACCTAAATGAACATTTAGTGCACCATTAAAATATATTCAAACATATATTTAAACACCTACAGAACTTTTTTTTTTCTTTTAATAAATAAATTTATCTTTTGGCCAATCAGAGCTAGCCATGAGCTAGCCGGTCGCCGTGGCACGCGGGTGCGGAATGGTGGTATGCGCTGTCGACAGATGGCTCTGCCTATGCTGATGCCAGAGTCGGACGGACGCGGTAGAGAAGGGTCGCCATCGCCCGAGTTGGCGTCGTTATGAAAATGTCAAAACTACAGCTGCGCTCCTTTGGACCTAACTGTACACACACCATAGTGGCGGCGGTGAACCTCGAGGATGGAAAGATGCAGTTCAGCGATCGGAGGGCACCCAGGAAAGACCGGACGCACATAGACCGGACGGAAGAAAACGCCGCGGAGAGCACAATGGCGAAAATGGTGGGAGGTGTACCTCGAAAATATTCGGCTGTTGTGACAGAGATTGCAAGGTGGGAGCGCTACCGCATCCTATCAGGCCTTCACCTGCGCAACACGGGATCACGGGTGAGCACCTTTCTTCACGCGATGGGGAGAGAAGCTGAGGACATCTTCACTAACAGGGTGCCAGCGGCCGATCTTCCTTCATCTCACGAATACTATTTCTGAAAAAGCGATTCAACCGTCGCAAGCAAGTGGCTAAACCCGGAGCGAGTACGTCACCAAACCTATTATTTAGTTTCATTCTCCAAGTTTTTGACAATAAAGTCTTGTCAACCTTCCATTTTGTGCAGTGTTTCATTGTTGCTGGAGTTGGTACCAGCGGTAACTGGGACCAACTCTAACTGGGACCAGTTGTAACTGGGACCAATTCCAGCTGGGACCAACTCCAATTGGGACCAGTTGTAACTGGGACCAATTCCAGCTGGGACCAACTCCAACTGGGACCAGTTGCAACTGGGAATTGTTCCATAAACCAGTTGCAACTGGGACCAATTGGTCCCAGCTGAAAATTTTCGCCTGGGCAATGAACATTGACGAAACTGTCCCAACAGCCATCGTCGACGGCTATTATTTCTGTACTCGGCATCCACTTCTTTTGTGCAACAATGTCGAGGCTACAGTAGCTTCCATAGCGCTGCAGACGAAGCCACGAGAGCGCGTGGCTCCGTCTTGCGTCACATTCGTATGCACTCTCGTACGAAGGAGACACCAAGTGAGGCCATGCACCCAAGCAAGGATGTAGCTTTCGCACTGCAGAAAGAAAGGCTAGCCTCAAGAATGTGGCAGAAAGAAGCTGATAACAAGTGTAAGCATATATTACTAGGACCCATATCATGCAATGGTGAATGATCAAAAACCCCTTTCCCTCCCCTCCCTCCCTCCCTCCCTCCCTCCCTCCCTCCCTCCCTCCCTCCCTCCCTCCCTCCCTCCCTCCCCCCCCCCCTCCCTCCCTCCCTCCCCTCCCCTCCCCTCCCCTCCCCTCCCCTCCCCTCCCCCTCCCCCTCCCCCTCCCCCTCCCCCTCCCCCCCCCCCCCCCCGTCGCGGCATTCATGCAATAAAGCAGTTCAGGGGCCTACATAGCTTGCCAACAAGAATTACTACACCAAAGAGTCTTTGGCTTATAGTAAGGCATCGATGGGCAACTTAGATGCGCTAAAATAAAGTTTAAACTGCAAATATACTTTGTTTACGGGCAGGAATGGTCAAGAGGAGCTCGCAGAACCTGAGAGGGAACTCTGGGGAACCGCAGTGTCCCTAGGAGCAGTGTTAGAGAACCCTAAAACATAAGCACTCGGTGTCATCCCTACAAAGTAAGGTCCACACACCTCACCGCTCTCTCCGTCATCTGAAAATCAGAGTGATAGCTATCCATGGCATCTCGGACCAGTGCGCCGGCCAATATGAGGTCCTGAAAAATGAAAGTACTGCCGTAAGAAATGTGCGACCACTGCAAACTCCATTGAGCAGAGGAACCAAAATTTGACAACCTAAGCTCAAAGGCCCACCTACACATCGGAGAAGCAGTTTCTGCTGCTTTGCTGTGATGCATGCAACATAACGGCGAAGCAGCAGTGTTACCGCACTGCCTTTGTCATATTGAAAATTGTCTTTGTCGCAATGTTACTCTTTATGACAATGTTACTGTTATCTTTGTCACAAGGTTACAACTGACGTCATAACATCACTAGTGATGTCACAACGTCGCTACTGACGTGACACTGCCACTACTGCATTTGTCATGATGTCACTACTGCCTTTGTCATGAATGCTACTACTGCCTTTGTCATGATGTTACTACTGCCTTTGTCACAATATTATTACTGCCTTTGTCACAATGTTACTATTGCATTTATCACAATGTTACTATTGCATTTATCACAATGTTACCACTGCCTTTGTCACAATGTTACTACTACCTTTGTCCCAATATTACCACTGCCTTTGTCTTAATGTTACTACTGCCTTTGTCACAATGTTACTACTGACTCTGTCACAATGTTACTACTCACTCTGTCATGATGTTACTACTGACTCTGTCATGATGTTACTACTGACTCTGTCATGATGTTACTACTGACTCTGTCATGATGTTACTACTGTGTTTGTCACAATGTTACTAGTGCATTTGTCACGATGTTACTACTGCCTTTGTCACAATGTTACTACTGCCTTTGTCACAATGTTACAACTGCCTTTGTCACAATGTTACTACTGCCTTTGTTACAATGTTACTGCTGTTTAATAATGGCAGCATGCATTACCAAAAGGAAACAATCTCACGTTTGATGGGTGTGCATGCTCGCATATATTTTTTTTATGACTTCACCAGTGTAACACGATTCCAATGGGCAGGGAGATTAAAGCTCTTCAAATCAGAGGCTGTTCAATGAAGTTTCTGAAACTGCCTTTGTCACATTTCTGCTACGGTCATTATCACAGCGTTACTACTGCCTTCGTCATAAACATTGCCGCTAAGCAAGTCTTACTTCTGCCTTAGCCAGAATAGCAAGGTCCATACAAATATTTGACATAAAATTCTAGAAAAATTAAAGGATTTCAAGAATACCAAATGGCAAGAGCCAAGGAAGGTTTAAACAAATTTATTGACTCAATGACTCAGCAAATCTTCAACTCTTTCTTAGCAAGGGGCACTCCAGCGATTTTTTCATGGTCGCTGATTTGCCTCAAAATAGGGTGACCACCTTCCTGCTAGCGAAATGCAGGACACATGGGGGAGGGGGGAGGGGGAGGTAGACGAAATTTATTAACACGCACACAACAAACTGAGGCTCTGTTAACATATTTATTATCCTGTGCTGTTTATACACATGCTATTTGCATTGCAGCAATTAAGCAAAAGCACTTTTCGCTTTCAGTGATATTTTTTTTTTAAATGCCAAATATGTTATTGAATGTGTCGAAGTTGAAAGCATAAAAATCGACTGTATCAGAACTCAATGCATAAAATGGATTTTTTTCCAAATCTTTTTCCGGTTATTGTTGCTTGTCAATGCTTACTTTTATCAACATGGTCCTACACAAATTTTTAACATTATAATCTTTTGCGATCATTGCAAATGTAATGATCTTAACTAAAAAAATATAAAACGCAACAGGCTCGTAGTTAGGGGGATGTTTAGGTGTCAAAACACCCCCCCCCCCCCCCGCGTCAGAGCAATCCCCTCTTCCAATTTAATTTTTCTTTATTTTATATACTGTATATGGGCGGTTTCATTTGGATTCAAGCAACGAGGGGCAGTCATATTTTTTATTTTGCTTCAAATTTTTATATTTCGTGCCGCATGTTCCAAGAAGAACAATCATTTTTATTTTGATGTCCTGACATGTTTAGTTTCTGAGAAAAAAAATCTCAAAGAAGCGGGAAAGAATGACGAGATTTTGACGATTGTCGTGTGTGGTGTTTTTGAATCACTCTCAATCTCAAAGTATTCAAAAGAGAGCTTCTATATTTTTTTATTGTGATATATATACAAGTCAGTAAAATGACATTCCAACTACTATTCATTATTCGTTCATCCAATCTTTGTAAAAATCCCCAAACATGCCTCCGTGAACAACTGTGAGATTTTTGTTTTAGTCGACTATGTTTAGTTTTGTTTTTAGAATAATACTACCGTGTAGAACATTTCATTGCCTTCCAAATTGAGCAAAGTTTGTGTTTTTATCATGTACGAGTTCCGAGAAATAAATTATGAAACAGAGAAAGTTTTCACTTTCTGCTCAATTTCAACACGCTGCAAAAAAAAAAAAAATTTTTGTCGCGTTTTTTTTACATTTTTTTTTAGCCAGCATACATTCCGTTGGAGGTATATGCACTAGTTTTGAGTTTTAAGCCTCTAAATATGCTAAAAAAATGCTGATGGTGGGTTTATCAGTTATACCTGTATATTTTATTTTTTGTTATAATAATCCAAGGGACGTCGAATGAATACTAATATAAAAGATATTAATGTCGTTAGGCGTACAATAACAAGTTTGCAATCCCAAACGTCGAAACACTATAAAATCGCACCTGTCGAAAGCGGGTTTCAGACGATTTCCGCCGGTGCCATGATTGGAGAGGCCTTAAACCTAAACCCTATGCGCTACATAATCTATACTACGTTAGAAATATAAAAGTATAATATTGTAATACATTAGAGTAAAATACACTTCCTATTGGAAACCTAGATTTTTAAATGCGAAATTTTATATGTTTAATGCGAAATTCATGTTGATAACAGAATAGAATCATTTTTAAGCATATTTAGAGGCTTAATACTAAAACCAGTGCATATACCTGTAACGGAATGTATTCTGGATAAAAAAAACAAAAAAAAACGCAACACAAAAAAAAAGTTAACATTTTTTTTTAATACAGCAGGTAGAAATTGAACGAAAAGTGAAAACCTTTTCTGTTTCATAATTTATTTCTCAGTACCCGTACGAGATTAAGACACAAACATTAGATAATGTGGAAGGCAATGAAAAATTTTACACGTGGTATTATTTTAAAAACAGAACTAAACATAGTCGACTAAAAAAATCTGCAGTTTAGGTCACAGTTGTTTGCGGAGGCATGTTAGGGGATTTTTACAAAGATTGGATCGACGAATAATAAATAGTAGTTGGAATGTCGTTTTACCGACTTGCATATATATCGCAATAAAAACATATCGAAGCTCTCTTTTGAATACTTTGAGATTGAGAGCGGTTCAAAAACGTCATACACGAAAATCGTCAAAACCCACCATCGGCATTCACTCTTTTTTTAGCATAGTTAGGGGCTTAAAACTCAAAACCAAGGCAAATACCTCTAACGGGATGTAATTCTGGCTAAAAGAAATGTGTAAAGAAAACGCGACACGAGAAAAAGAAAAAAAAATTTTTTTACATACAGTGAGTTAAAATTGAACGGAAAGGAAAATTCCTCTTTGTTTTATAATTTATTTCTCAGTACTCGTACAAGATAAAACACAAACTTTGTTTAATTTGGAAGGCAATGAAAGGTTTCACACGTGGTATTTTTTTAAAAACAATACTTAACATAGTCAATAAAAAAAATCCGCAATTTTGGGTCACAGTTGTTCACGGAGGCATGTTTGGGGATTTTTACAAAGATTAGAGCGAGGAATAATAAATATTAGTTATAATGTCGTTTTACCAACTTGCATATATGTCACACTAAAAAAATATGGAAGCTCTCTTTTGACTACTTTGAGATTGAGAGTGATTCAAAAACGCCACACACGACAATTGTCAAAACCTCGTCGTTCTTTCCCGATTCAAAAACGCCACACACGACAATTGTCAAAACCTCGTCGTTCTTTCCCGCTTCTTTGAGATATTTTTCTCAGAAACTAAGCATGTCAGGACATTAAAATAAAAAGGATTGTTCTTCTTGGAACATGCGCCACGAAAAATAAAAATTTGAAACAAAATAAAAAAAAAATATGATTGCCCCTCGTTGCCTGAATCCAAACCGGGTGTTTTTGCAAAGACTCAAAAATCCTAAAAATTAAAACGTCTGAAATAAAAAAAAAAAAAAAGAAACAGTCTTTGGGAACACACTACCAACCATGGCGGACGTCATGATTTGCCAAAAACACACTAATTAGCCAACTAATTAATTAAAACTTGTTATTTAACTTTTTAATTAGTGGAAACAGACATATGGTTCTAATTAGAAAGTTGCTGAGCGTCACCGAAAAACACTAAATCAGTCATTTTCAGAAAGACTTTGAGCGCGTGAGAGGCGTAGTAGTGCACTAAAGTTACCACTCGTGGAGCAGGTACAAGGCTAGCGTTTACGGTAAGGCGCCGGCGCGATTTTCTCGCCTCTTATCTAGCCCCAGCCTTAAACCTGCTCCACGAGTGGTAACTTTAGTGCGCTACTACTCTTCCCAAGCGCTCAAAGTCTTTCTGAAAATGACTGATTTAGTGGTTAGAAATAATGGAAACAGCGCGCAAACGACAAGGACGGGAGGAAAAGGAGTACACAGGACGAGCGCTGAACTGACAACTGAATATTTATTGAAAAGGACCCAACGAAGAAAACACCCACAAAAAACACACACTCGCATCAACACGTGTCCATGAAAGTAATCTCCTTCTTATGTAAATACACAGAAGTTTGACTCACGCAGTTCTGTTCCCCCTCCTTCTTTATTCCATACGCTTCTAAAATTTCCCTGGCTGTTTTATCAGCTCCCCTCCCCATGATTGTGATCTTATTGAAATCAGGATGACACTTGCATGTTCCGCAGTGCAGGGGCAAATGCCCTCCTGCTGTTGAACTAAGTGACCAGTCATGTTCGCGAACATGACTGGTCGCTTAGTTCAACAGCAGGAGGGCATTTGCCCCTGCACTGCGGAACATGCAAGTGTCATCCTGATTTCAATAAGATCACAATCATGGGGAGGGGAGCTGATAAAACAGCCAGGGAAATTTTAGAAGCGTATGGAATAAAGAAGGAGGGGGAACAGAACTGCGTGAGTCAAACTTCTGTGTATTTACATAAGAAGGAGATTACTTTCATAGACACGTGTTGATGCGAGTGTGTGTTTTTTGTGGGTGTTTTCTTCGTTGGGTCCTTTTCAATAAATATTCAGTTGTCAGTTCAGCGCTCGTCCTGTGTACTCCTTTTCCTCCCGTCCTTGTCGTTTGCGCGCTGTTTCCATTATTTCTAAGCATGAACCAACTCGCCCACATCGCTACTCTGATTTAGTGGTTTTTGATAACGCTCAGCAACTTTCTAATTGGAACCATATGTCTATTTCCACTAATTAAAAAGTTAAGTAACAAATTTTAATTAATTCGCTGGCTAATTAGTATGTGTTTTGGCAATTCCTGACGCTGTGGCTTGTAGTTTGTTCTCGAAGACAGTTTCTTTTGTTTTCAAACGCCCTAATTTTTAGGATTTTTGAAAACCTTCGCAAATTTTTTTTTATTGTGTGTGTGTGATTGTACCAGCACTTTAAAACACCACCCGAAAATATTTCCTGATTACACCGCTGCACAGCAACCGTTTCGCATTGACACAGCGATTTGAAAATAATTACAATATTTTATATTTAAACATTTGGCGAGCAATTTTTCGAGCGATATTTTGCCACCAACGGCGCATAAGCGTTGCTTCTCCTGCAAGAACGACGATCGCTTCCTGCAATGATTGAATAAAAACTGGCGTACCATTTCTATTCACACGATTACCAGCGACCTCCGCGCTTCCTTGTGCCCCGTTGCTTGGCAGCACCATGAGTTGCGGAGTGAATTTTACAGCAGTGTGAAATGCGGGACATTTTGAAGATTTCAGAAATTTCTCGCGGGACGCGGGACACGAGCTCTCAATGCGGGACAGTCCCGCGACTCGCGGGACGGGTGGTTACCCTACCTCAAAATGACTCAACACATTCATAGACATGGCTCTTCCAGTTCCTCAAGTGTTGTGTGAAAAGAAAAACATTTTGCGAAGTTATTGAATTTTTGAATTTCATTTTCATTGTGCTTCTCAAACCGGAAGCCCCTAATGGCAACATTAAAGTGTTCCAACAGAAATGGTACAAAGAGGGCAGTAAGCCATGTTCCCAACAGATTACAACATGTTTGATGATGGGAAAAGAATACTTGGGAGCTGATTCACTGAAAAGTATGCAAAAAAACACTCGACATGCTGTGTTTAAGACTACCTGCATGATTTGAAAGTCTGTACCATTTGTGACATCACACTATTGGAGAGCACGCAGAAATCTAGCTGTTGGTTTTGGCATCATCTTCATTTACTGTTTCCTTAATTCCAATATTTCAAGAAAATAAATAGCATACCATGAAGACTGAAGTCCAGGTAGTCAGAAAATGCAATTTGTTTCAGTAGCTCAAAAAATGGCTGGAGTACCCCTTTAGCAGCAAGTTCTCTAACCACTGCGGTAATCTCTGCCTCTTTTTTTTTTGGCTGTTCATTTCAAACTAAGCCTTAAAAAGGACAGCGATGTCATCTTTAGATTTGGCATCCCCAGAGAAGCTATCTGCAGATGCTCACAGACACATTGATGTATTCGGGAGTTTGGTCTTCATCTGCAACTTATAAAGAGTAGGGTCAGAACAATTGTGATGGCTTGAAGCTGAGCTCGTTGGTTCAGGCTTGTTATAAGCACATCGCTGGCCACAACATATATATATATATATATATATATATATATGTTATAGCCAGCGATGTGTCTGCCTTTTTGTTTGTCTGGTGTGTGTGTCCTTCCAATGTTCAGCTGGCATCTTAACAAACTAAAGTCAGAACCACTTACGACGGGCTTTACCTTGTACTACCCTGGCCCCAGTTTGCCGTACGACTAGACAACTATTAACAGGTGCGAGCTTTGGTATGCCATATATGCAAAGGCAAAACTAGTGAATATAGTCCTTTTTAAACAGCGAACAACAAGATTGTACGGTACGCAAAGTGCCCACAACGTCTGCGACGTGCACTATTGCCACATTTTCCTTCCGTGTCGGCTCCTCCGTACCAAAGCTTTTCCACTCCGTGTTCCTCACAGAGCCCCTTCGATTTCAGTCAACCGAACCACTTCTACCAAGGTCTCAAGGAATGCAAGTAGTGCATCAACATTTAAGGAGTTTCGAGGGCTCTCGAAAAACAAATCGAGGGTATTTTAAGGTTTTCAAGGGGCTGTGGGAATGCTAGGGTAGTGCAAGGAAGGGGGGAAGTTTTTCACTACCACAACCGGCCCGAACAGAGCAAACAACACTAGTAATAAGCCTTTCTAAAAAATTCAATAAGGCCTCTTGTCAATCCGACATTGCACTGCGTGGCGCGGGAAATTGTGGGGCTGTTCTGATGTACCGTCAAGCCAGCTCGTAGGCTCCATACACCCATGAAGTGGCTGAATTATTTTTCTCTTACCACTGCGAGTTCAGAACACATCACAAAGACGGTACATACCCCATTTTGTCATCATTCTAGTTTCTTTTCATTCAGATATAGCGAAATGCTATATCTGAATGCTCCAGTTTATGAGCACTCCTTCATGTGCCATTCATCAGATTGCCCTAGTGCATCAAAAAAGGCGATGGGAGGTGCTGCACATTTCCGGAATGGTCCATCAAAAGAAAAAAACTGTATCTCACCCTCTCCAAGACGGGGGCCTCGTCTCCAACGCGCAGCTCCGCGAGGGTATCTTTGGCGTCAAGCTCGATGCCCGCATGGTCGCCCTTCTTCTGAAACGTCACCACGGGCTCTCCGATAAGGTTCACCTCCGTCTTCTTGTCGGCCAGTATCCGGTCGCGAACCACCGCGTCGAAGCTGGAGTAGCTTCCGGACGGCGTGTTGTCCTCGGCCGGACTGGCGGCGCCGGACGTCGGCCGCAGTCCAGCGGTCGCCGCGCTCAGTCTTCTGTTCAGGGTGTCGGGGCAGAGGCTGACCCTGCGGCCAAGGAAGAGTTCGGGGGGAATGTAGCTGTCCCTCCGGACCGGGAGCAGGCTCTCCCGACGGCCGCCCGCAAACGCCTCCACCAGCAGACTGTCCCGGCGTGCGCGGACAAAGCCCTCCGGGACTAGGCTGTCCCGGCGAGAGCCAGACATCATCTGCGACTGCAAGACACGTGGATGTGGGTTCAGTGCAGCGAAGCGGAATCCCCAAGTTCCGCGAAAGTGGGCGGGCGGCAAGTGCGTAAGCATTGGTCCGGCTGGAGTTGGATAATAAAACTGGGTCCCAACTGGATCGAAATTATACTTAATCGAGCTGGATTGCAACGAGACTTAATCCGGCTGGACGAAACTGGATCAGGCTGAACCAAAATTTAGCTTAGTCAAGCCAGATGCAGTTGCGGCTGGATCCAGCTGGGACCGGTGCCAACTGAACAAATTTTCATCTGGGCACATTCACGCATTGTGCGACTGCTATTTCAGTCAAAGCTAACGAGTTATTTTTCGCTACAAAAGATCTTGAGAAGAGACCTCCCGAATGCTTTAGAGTGGCAGCCGATGTCTCAAGAAGGGGTATAGCTGCCTTCAGGTAGTCATTAAAAAAGTATCTTTTCAAGGTCGGTATGTACAGGGTGTTATCGATACCAGGCTCACTCTAAAAATCAATCGATGCAGCGATCTCAAATTTTCATCCGAGGTGTATTTTAGTGGTGTGTTTTACCTTGTAAAACTTCCAAGAAAAAGCTCTCTTCCTGGGGATAATGAGACATACACCCTTTCCACGATCAATGGCAGACGACGATGCAGGTGACCCAGGAGGGTTGTGCTGGTGGCGCCATTTCCCGATAAGCACAGCGAGCAGGCAATACACTTAGTCAAGAGCAGTCAAGCACATGACACTATTGTCTGCTCTGCGCTAACCCCATACACGTAAATAAAAGTTTCTAGCAAGCAAGCACTCAGTCATGTGAGTCGTCATCCACCGTTGACCGTGGCAAGGATGTTGGTCCTATTTTTCGCAAAAAGGAAGCTGTCTTTAAATTTCCCCGACGTAAAAGGCACTGCTAAAATACACCTTTGGTGAAAACTTCAGATCTCTACATGCAGGTGTCAATTGTAAAACGATTCTGAGTATTGATAATGCTCCATTAATCATATTGAAAGAGGTAAGAAGCACGACACGGCTAGCACAAACAAGCGATCGCAAGTCTTCCTTGTTTAGCTCTTACGATTAAAAGGCTGCACTTAAAAATACCATTATGGTGGAAAGTAGTGATGTTGGGGTTCAATTTAAACTGTTAAGGTTGGTACGCTTGTCAACACCTTGTTTGTACAATATGCGGCAAGTGGTCAAAGTCGTTTTCGCACTAGCTGTATCTTTCATTGTACAATGTGTGCTGCAACTGTATGCTGCATGGCACTGTTGGTGCAAACACCATTGGCAGTGTTCTGCATTTTACATTGAAATGGCATTCGCAAGTATCAAATTTTACCACTTGGATTAGTGCACTAATGAGCACTTTCCACCACACTATAGTAGCATTGATGACCACTTATAGAACTTAAAAGGAAAACAAAGGAAACCAGCTACCATTTGTTTGCACTAAGAGTGTCAAACTCTGTAGAAGCTTAGCTATGCAAAAAAAAAAAAAAGCTTCCAATTTAATGTTAACAAACATTTATTAAAATATATAACAAACATCATTTAACAAAACCTTTTACAAACTCTTTTAGCAATCAAGTTCTACCTTATTTTAAATGTATGCAACTAAACATACAAACTTTCAAGATTCAAGTGTTGTTATATCAAGGAACTTTTTGGCAAAGAGCTTACACTTACCGCCGAATTCACAAACGTCACTCCAACTGCGGGGCCCCTCCACTTCCTCAAGTGTTGTTATATCAAGGAACTTTTTGGCAAAGAGCTTACACTTACCGCCGAATTCACAAACGTCACTCCAACTGCGGGGCCCCTCCACTTCCTCGAGGAAGTAGAGGGGCCCCTCAATTGAAGTGAGGTTTGTGAATTCGGCGGTTAGAGAAAGGCGATTCGGAACATGTATTGATAAGCACATAGAAACCACTTCAAGATACAGGAAATAAAACAAAAGAAAGAGCCCTGACTCGTGCTAGAAAGTTGACAGTGAACAATCTAAGAGCAGGTTTGCCAAGAGTGTGGCACTAATCCTGCAGTTCATGATGTGTTACTCCATATAACATCTTGAGCCAAGAAACCGGAGTGTAAGCATAAGAAAAGCAAATTCCTACCAGGATCATATTTCGCATCATGGCTGCTGATTTGGCCCGGTGCTGCTATTCCACACAAAAACACCAGTTAACAAAACAACCACACGCAGAGAAGCAATCGTTGGAAGGAAGACTGAAGTCAACCAAGTCGACATTCAAATGGCCATCCAAAGAGAGTGCAAAGGTAGAGCTTTTTCTTTTGATTATTTTCTTCTTGCCCCTTTCCAACACATGTGTGGATGGAGAGATGTAGGAGCAAGGACACATGTCAGCGTTACAAGTTCTTTGTCCGTAGCTCCATCAAGGGCTTCGTACAGCTGCCATTCATCGTGTCAAAAAATATAAAAACCACCTGCAGCGTGCCTTATATATAGGGTGTCAATCAAACAGTGCTCCCTTTAGGAGGCTGCACAAGTCCAAGTGTGTAGGAACTGTTAGGTAGAATCCAAATTTCGTTCATAGTTCAAAAGGGGGAAAAAATACATTGCAAAACCGACTCGGCTAGAATCTAACGGGCAAAATTTGTAATTATATCAGCTTGAACTTTAGAAATATCTCGAACACAAAGACAGAAAGGGCAAAATTTGATGCAAATTTCCTCTGGTAAACGAAGTGTGCACAAAATACCACGGCAGATTCCGTCACATCATGATCTCTGAAAGATGCACCAAGACACTGAACGCCCCCGAAGATTCACCAGACAGGGATTCGCTGCGTCAACTGTTGCAACTTCGCGCGAACCCCAGTGCATGTTCTGAAGCTCGACCGCGAAACTTCTGGTAGCAACGAAGTAGTGATACAAGTTACGAGTAATTCAAGTTTGGAGACCCCAAAAAGAGATGCTTGTTTTTTCTTTTTTTCTTTCGACTATGCCGTTTCCAGGGCATACAACATCAGAGACCTTTCGGGTTGAGTCAAGCTCAACGGACACCAACGAGCACAAAAGAGAGCGTTTGGGAAGCTGGCTCCCTGGAGAACGGCAAAACTTCCTTCCGAAATACAAACCGCAAAGGGCTACCTGTTGTCGACGCCACCGGCCCTACCAGCCAGTCTCTTCGTAGATCCACCTTCAACAAGCCGCGAGTATGATTTGAACATGATTGCAATCAACTAATCGAATCTCTTTTAAACGACTCTCAATTTCAGCTGCAAGCTTCTACACGGGCCACCAAAGGCTGTGGGTCACGATAACCATGATAACGTTGACGTAAACATGGTCGAACTTTTGCTGCTGCGCCGCGCGAAGAGTTGTTGAAGCGGTGATGGTGGCGGCGGCGTGGCTTGAATGACAGGTGGATCCACCCCCCACATTGGAGGCGGCACGCACCACATTTTAAAACGGCTGCTACAGTATAACCCGATAAGCCTTCGGATTACAGAAAAAACTCGAAATTGTTGGGTTCTCTGTTTATTTTTAGTATTTTGCCTTATTTGCATTGCTTTGGAAATTTGCATCGCGCTAGGATAGGTTTCAGTTTCGGTGTCTTATCGCGAGTTATCCGGTTATCACTTCGGCCTTTCGGTGTTGCCCTATCTTGAAATTCGTCGCATCGGTAACCTGAAATACTGTATCTTTTGGACATTGGAAGAGCTCAAAAGAGATAGGGTGAAGCGAACACGGAGTCTGAGATTTGCGACACGCATCTCGGCCTTGCTGGCCCTCTTTCTCCTTTTGTGCGTCGTTTCGAGCGGCTCTTCATTGTTTCGAGATCATCTCCTTTTCCTTCTGGGTTATCCCGGGGAAAGCCACTAAAATGCTTGATTTTTCGCGTTATACTCTGATTTTGTACCTCGAAACCTCAGTGAGGGTTCAAACCCGGGTTCGCATTTCGCGGGTTAATCATAGCACAAGGTTTAAGCTCCGAAATATGTCCGTAACCCTGGGTGACAATAACAAAACTTGATCTCCGCCGTTTCGCGAAAGCCGCATCGGCAGCGCTGAGTGCAAAAACAAGCTTCTCGAGACTCGAGAGTACGGCTGAAAAAAAGCGTCTTTTTGTGTGTGTGACCGCGTATCTTGCTTACCGGTGCCGGTAGAGTTTGCGGTGCTTCTTCGTGAACTACGTGATCACAGATTCGCAAGTTGGGTACGTTTGAAACGGTCCCGTCATGTCGTCCGAACTGGACATCCTCAAGGAGATGGGCTTCTCGGAACAGAGGGCGTGAGTTCGGCTTGCTCGCCTTGCCTGCCTCATGTTACGATGTCAGCCACGAATGTCTGAACAAAAAGCGCTTCAAATGCACCGTCTTCCTCTTTTGTTCCGCAGGGAGAAAGCCCTGCAAGTGTGCGGCAGCCAAGGCGTCGAGGCCGCTATGGAATGGTAAGGAATGCCCGCTCGTAACGCGCAGAACAATTCAAATCGGTTTCGAAAAAGATGGTCACATCGTGCTGGTTTTTGTTTGTTTTGTGTTTTTTTACAGGCTTTTGGCGCATGCAGATGAGGCCATGGATACCAACGAACTCGTCCCCGCAGTAAATCCACCGGCAACCAACGTCCCTTCTAACACGGAAAGAGGTAGTGGCACTACTTCACGATCACAACAACACGTCATTCATTTAGATTGGGCAAGTCATCCCAGAGTAGGATTCGGTGGAGAGCAGCTGTTTTTGTAGCTGTTGTGATCGTGCTTGTCCGTTTTCTTCCACTTCGCTCGGGCCAAAGAAAGCTTACTCCATCTCACAAACATCTGCAGTGTGGAGGGCCCGAGCGCGAGACTAGTAAAGCGCCGTGGGAATTCTCGTACAGACAGAGTGTTCTGCTGAGCTATGTTCACGCGCCTGTGCCCTTGGCTCCGATGTAGACAATTCTAAAAAGCTCGCGCACGCTTTTTTTTCTTTTTTGTTTTTTTGTACGAGCCCGTGCCTGTTGATGAAGCGAGCGTCGCACGTCGACGTGCATGTTCTCGGTTCTTGTCGAGTTATGATCTCGACCATTTGCGTCATTGCAAAGATGATTTACGGTAGGTCGTAGAGATCTCGCGAGACGCTGTGGAACGTAGTCCGACCTAGTGTCGAATACCAACCGAATCGCGAGGTGTGCTCTGGCTTCTCGTGGGTGTCGCGTTTCCTGTCACTATCGGCGCCGAGAACTCGCGGGAGTACCACGATATCGGTTACTTCTTGGGGTAATGCGTATTTGGAATCCGCTTTGTGATCAGCGAAATTACTCTGCATGTTTGCCCCACGACCTACTCGTCGTTTCTTGTACAGGGCATCCCCCCAAAAATTTACGACTTTTTTTGCACCCAAAAATGAAGTATTCATCGACGAGCGCTCATTCTCCACCCAAATGTTTTGCTAGCGGTGAGAATCGGGTGCCAAAGTTTCTGAATCAAGGCCCGCTTCAGACGGGGCAATTTTGTCCAGAACTTCGCGTCGCAACACCAGCAACACGGGCCGCCTGCGTTCACACGCAGCAACCGAATTGCTACGACTTGCCATCATCATCATGAAATTTTATTTTTCTTGCAGTATTTAGATGCCCAGTTATATCTTTAAAAACTTGTTTTTACATCTTTAAATTGCGCTGAGAATGCTAACTCATCTTTCTGAAAGAGTTTATTTCCAAAAACGATCCATTTCAAACCAGAACCAACTCTTCAGTTGTCATCATCACCACCACGGGGCTGTCACGTGAAAATATTGCATTCCTGATTGGCTGCTGCCACTTCAAATGTCTCCAAGTTGTCCGAGTTGCTCGTCCGTTTCGAACCGGGCCCGATCTCGGCAATTCATGTCGGTCTAGGGAAAGCTGGGGAACAACCTGCCAGCAACCTCAAAATTGCTGGAAAAGTTGCCCCATCTGAAATGGGCCTAACCGTTATCTTAGGCCCGCTTCAGACGGAGCAATTTCACCCAGCAACTTGACGTCGCAACACCAGCAACAACGATCGCCCGCGTTCACACGCAGCAACCAAATCGCTCCGACTTGCCATCATCATCATTAAATTTGATTCTTCTTTCACTAGTTAGACGCTCAGCTACGCGCTAAAAACGCGTTCTTATATCTTTGAACGGCGTTGAGAATACTAACTCATTTTTCTGAAACTGTTTATTTCCGAAACCGATCCATTCCAAACCAGAACTAAGTCTTTAGCTGTCATCATCACCACCACAGGGGTGTCACGTGAAAATATCGCGTCTCGGATTAGCTGCAGCCGCTTCAACCGTCTTCGAATTGCTCCGAGTTGCTCGCTTGTTCGAGCCAGACCCGATCTCAGCAATTCGCGTCGATCTAGGTAAAGCTAGGGAACAACCCGCCAGCAACCTCAAAATTGCTGCAAAAGTTGCCCCGTCTGAAGCGGGCCTTAGTGAAAGGTTATAAGCAATTTTCTTAAGTTTTCAGTGGGAAAATGGCAGCTAGACAAAGCTCTCGAACATATGGAGCTGAATAACGGCAGTTACCAAAGATGGGCCCGATTTTCCCATTCAAGATTGGAAACAATAAACATCTAGGACGAAGACATCACAGCCACATCTTTCAACTCTCATGCTCTTCATCCATTCATTTTCCATTGAAATCTTATAAAAATCACTTAGAAGTTGTTATTGAGAATGGCTAGTTCTGAAACTTTGGCATCTAATTTAGACTGCTGGTGCTGCATTTTGGCAAAAAAAAAAAAAAAAAAAACTAAATCGTTTGGCACGAACCCTTGCTTACCAATTCATTGGTACGGGCAGCTCCGGTAGACATGGTCAGCCTCGTAATTTTTTTTTTTTGGAGAGTGACATGTTGTAGTTCATTTTTCAAGTTGTTTTGCGAGCTTCAATGAGTATTTGTGCCGCAGTGAGTTTTCTAGTTCTTTCGCGAGCTTCGATGAGCATTTCTCCCCAAAACAAATAGAAGCCTTTATCTTATGCTTTTTTATTTGTTAATGAAGGGTTGAGTCCTTATGCCTATGGATCCCAGGTGGTGGGTTTGAGGCAACTGAGCTTTCCGTTGCACATCAAAAGATCCCCAGGTGCCAGATGCCCTTCGTTGGTTTGGCATGTAAAACCTCAAAATTTAACTGTGGTCGAGTGCTTGCATCGCTCAGAAATGACCAAATGCAGATGACTTGCACACCCTTTCTGTGTGTCGATCATCTCGATGCTTTTTGTTCCGCGAAACACCTCTGCACCCTCTCACGAACTGGGGGACATGTCAGCTATACGGAGCGGAAGTTCATTTGCTTCTTCAGCAGGGGTTGTGGTGGCATCAGAACGCCGAGCCCTGATTGCTTCTGAATGAAGGATAGTGGGTAGACCTCAAGGCAGCTTGCTTTGAGGTCTACCCACTGTCCTTCCATCAGAGCCAATCAGAGCTCGCCATTCTGACGTTACCACAACCCTTGCTAAACAAGCAGACGAACTTGCGCTCCGCATACTCCGTTTCACCGTACGATGAACCATGGTGGATGTTTCGAGCCATCTAAGCTAATCCTTTGGGACATGCAGTGCACAGTGTCATGATATGTGAACAGTGTTGGATTGGTTGGTATAGCTTGTGCCGCCTGCTAATGTCTATTGTAAGGCAAAATGGCATATGGATTTGTAAGTGAAAAGAGTTGACGGATCTCGAGTCTTGGAATGCCCCATATAGGCAGTTTTGTGCGGTGTCCGTCGCCGCTTTGCAGAAGTCCTTGGAACATTTTTGGTCGTTTTAGATAAGGCTCCGATTTTTTTTTATTGAATTTACAAGTCTTCCTTATTCTCGAGTTTGGCATGCTGCATTATTTTTACCGATTATTATGTGTGTGTTTCATTGATGCACGAGATTATTTGGGAGAATTTTGTCGAAATTCTCCCAAATAATTTCTTCCTTCACAACCAAATGTTGTGAGGGAAGAAAAAGCTTGGAGAATTCAGCAAAACGGTAATGGCAGGAACTCCTAGCGTCCAGTTGCTAGAGCCGCTAAACGAGCCATGCTTCGTGGTAACAACACCTTGACTATCTCATTGTTGAAAATCATTGTTGCAAGTCCTCGGAAAGCTCTATCCGAAATTGCAAGAAATACTTGTGTCCCTCAGAATCGCTAAATCGGTCTCCGACAGAGCATTGCAATGGCGGCCAAGCTTCCCAACACCCTGTCTTAGGCTCGGAAAGTGGCATTTTTGAACCACAACTGGGCCCGTTCCGCACTAAGCAATGAGGGGCAGTTTGTAGGTGGCGCAAGCTACTGCCCGTTATAAAGCGTACAGTCATTTTCATATATTCATCTAAATGCTGGTATATCTCTCCCGACGGCTAAAATAGCTATAAGAGGAATTTTCTGGTCACATGACTGGCTTTGCGGGGACAAGGTGCCTATAAAAAACCTCCGTGTCATCTGTTTTCTGCTACATTGTCAAGCTTCGCGTAGCTCTCACAGTGCCGCACCTCGACACTGGTACTTGAGCACATTGCTTCGTCCCGCATCTCGTTCGCACGTGCTATCGTGCGAAGCGACGCGCTCGTGCGAGTGGTTTTGATGGAGTTAGAACACTGTGGAAGCCAAGCCAACCTCGACTATACAGCACAAAATAGTCGATGCCGAGACGAGCAAGTGGCTGCCTTTATTCTGTCCTCGCTTCAATTGTTAAAACCGGATTCTGCGCGCAGAAAAAGGATGAGGAGGCTCGTAATGTATGTAAAATGAACTGCCCTTGTGTACTTTAGCGGCAGCATGTAAAGTTATTTTCGGGGAAGGTTGTGTTAAGTGAGAATTAAAAAAAGCTGACAGGCAAGGCTTATGTCTTCTGTGCGCAATCTTCTGGAACACTAGCTACTTCCTGCCCTTTGAGCCGGTCACATGACCCAAAAATTCCTTCTGGGGCTATTTTAGCCTCTGGGAGTAAAAGCTGCATTGATTGGAAAACCTCCCCAGGTGGTGGCGCCCACAAGGCAATCTGAGAAAGAGTTGTCGGCGCTCTATGCGTAGCTTGTCTAGTGATTGTAGGGAGGGGTAGGGGTTATGTTTTGGGTTCCAGCACTGCCTGGACTGCTGTAATCCAAGAACATTTGAGGACTGTGTGTCACGCTCACACATTCTCTTCCTGGGATTCTCGTACTGGAAAGGTGCATGCCGCTGCCGACACCATTTTTCGTAATGGTGATTGGGATTTTGATACGCGGCAGGGTCGCGCCTCGAAGAGTCAACAGCGTGCACTGTTTGCTGCGCGTGTCGACAGGAGACTGTAGTGACGAGGTTGCAGGGAAAACGGAGGATTCGTCGGCCGGGTCGGAGCCGACCAACGCCGCCGCCCCCAGCCCCGAGCCGACGTCTGCCGAGGGTTCGCCGGCCTCCGCCAAGAGTCTCAAGTGTGACGAGTGAGTCTCGCACTTCCACGCTCTCCTTCATTTTTGGTTCATCTCGAGTTTAGTGATTTCACGGACATGTTTGGACCTGCTTCGGACGGGGCGATTTTCCCAGCAAGATCGAGGTTGCTTCCTCTTGCTGCAACACAAATTGCTAGGGCTGCATCCCGCCTCTAAAGGGGCCAGACATTTCAATAACTCGAAGACATTGGCAGTGACAACAGCCATTGGGAGACGCAGTATTTTTGTGCGATGCCTCCTGTGGTAGTGGTAATGCCATCTAGACACAGGGTTTCACTTGGTTCTGGTTTGCAATGTGTTGTCTTGTAACTAAGTAGTTCCTTGGAGACCGGTTAATACCGCAAGAAAATACAAGCATCCTTTGAAATGCTGCATCACAGAAGCTACAGCGATCCCTCTAGGCTGAAATGATGTAGAGGTAACTCAAAGCAGTTTACTATGTTATCAGTGCCATTTAAATATATAAAAGCACGTTAGTAAGGCACAACATTGTGTCGAAATAATTAAAGAATATTACGGTTTTCGTCATCATGATTGCCAAATGGACTAATTCGAGTTTTTGGCGGTTGCTACAACCGAACTCGAGAGGCGTGTCTTGGTGTTGCGAAGCCGAGACGCTGGAGAAGATTGCCCCGTCTGAAGATGGGAGGGCTTTGTCCACTTCGGCTGTTGATCTTGAACTTGTCATAGTTTGTTGGCCCCGTTAGTTTTGCCCCGGCTTTAGTTTGTGCTTATGGCATGAGCTAGTTCCCTCGGAAACTGCTTGCGAAGGCTGTAGGCGTTTTGTTACACGGCTCTATGTTTTCGAAGAAAGTAGAGCATTCTCGCACAGTCTGAAGAAGGTCGCAATCTTCATTGTTTGCCTTTCATTTTTTTTTTTCTGCAAATTTGTTGTGTAATTTCTTTCAAATAGCCAGGGAACTTCAAAATTTTATTGCAGTTAAGGACGTCGGAAACTTTTGTCAAACCTTTGGATCGACATGCTTTCCTGGCCACTTTCAGCGTGCCGACGAGACTCGTCAAAATGTTTTTCAATAAGCGCCGAATGAACGCTAGCGTGTACTGCTGAAGTCGCAAAAAAAAACAAAAACGTAAAGCAGAGAACTGGAAGCGATTCACTCTATTTCACCATTTGATGGATGGCAGTTGACGCTACGAGCTATCTGAGCTAAACAAGTACCGTGAAACTATTGTGTGACTAGGCGCAACATGCGTCGCTGCGCCCTTTCCGAAGTGTCACGTGACTCGCAGCATTGGATTGGCTGGAATGGCTCGTAGCATCTTCTGCGAGCCATCGTGAGGTGAAACGAAGTAGAGTCGTAAAGGCTGGTTCTCACACTTAACGTTTGGTTGTAACCGAGTGCATTGTGGAGCCTTGTGCCTCCTTGTGATTGCTTACGAAGAGTACACTTGCCGTTTGCATATATTTCTTAAATCTTTTGCACATTATCCTTCTTCCATAGGCTTGAAAAGCTCGTGACAATGTTACAAACAGCAATTTTTTATAGATAGCATATACATTTGATCCCACAGATCCCGTAAAACCTTCACTTTAGTTAAGTGCAGTTCCAGGGCTACCCACGGTGTAAAATATATGTAGGTGTGGACAGCGCGCATGTCGCAGCTGCCAGATGAAGTCCTCGCCTCGTATTGCAAGCGGTGGCACCAGGTGGCTCCTCGACATGCAGCTATTGGCAGCCTTTCGCAATCCCGGTTTCGCACGCTTCTCCAAGGGGACACGCTTGTTTTGAAAGTTGTTTTCCGAGTGGACCTTGTCATATAGACTTTGGCACTTGGCCTATACATGTTTCTTAGGCACATCTTTGTCATTGACACTTTTTCGTGCCTTAGCGGCGGCAATAACATTTTTTTTCGAACGCATCGAAGCGGAGGAATTTCTGCCGTGGTGTTCGGTCCGGCGCCCGTCAAGGTCAGGGCAGACGCTCGGAGCAGAGGGAGCATCCATCCAAATGCCATAAACACAAAACTTTTTTTTTTTTTTTTTTAATTTTTGTTGTCTGGATGGATTGTTTGGACGCAATCGGCTAAGGCTCCTCAGGCTCCCACCAATAGGACTTTATCTGGTCGATCGCGTCGCAGCGTTTGCCATGCTGTGTGTACTCACCTATGTATGTCTTGCCTTGTGGGGTTATCTCGTAGATGGCAGCAGCGTGTCAGTGTGTCTTTTCAGGCTGCACAAGGCTTTGCAACACAATTGGTTGCAACCAAACGCGAGCATTTTGACCCGCCTCGAGGTGTTGAGTACCGACGCCAGCAATGACTTCCTTTTCTTTTCGACCCCCCAAGGTGTGGCAAAAGGTTTCGAACCGAGGCCGAAGTGGAATTCCACGCCGTCAAGTCTGGCCACCAGAGCTTCTCGGAGTCTGCTGAGGAACTCAAGCCCCTCACGGAGGAGGAGAAGTTAGAGCAGAAGAAGAGGTCCTGGTTCCCTTGCATTTGACCCAAGTACTGTCTCGAGAAACCCTAGCACGTTGCTCGCGGTGCGTCTGGTGTCCCGCGCACCCCTCGCGTCGGAAGCGGTCCCGAAGTGGCACTAGTTGAGGTCGTGACGTCAGACGTCTCGGTCCCGGTGGTTGCTTGAAAAAGGTCCAGCAAAAAGAATGGGCCAATGTAAATGTCACCTTGGTCATGGCTGCCTAAGCTTCTAACGACCGTTATGCCGGGGAGGAACCTGCGGCAGAACGGACGTCTGCCACCGCCGCCGGGATCGTGGCAGGCGACGGCACGACGCAAGTGCGGCGGCGGGCGGAAATTGAGGAGCTGCAAACGGGGATGCGGTAAATGCACCAATTGGAGACGTGTTCCACGCTCCGCGGCGTCAGTACAACTCGGGGGCCAGGCAGTAGGGTGACTTTCATTCCGCACTTGGGTCTGCATCTCCACAGATAACCTTCCGTTTTGGGAGAAAATGTCGCATTTCTTTAGGTATGCGAGACTGCTAGTCTCGCACCGGGATGCTGAATTCTGGTAATTGTGTGTGGCCTTTAATACCATCCCACAATTGCTCTTGTTCTGCCCAATGGAAGCTACAACCTAGGGTTCTGACCAAATATGTAGTCGTCGTCATCATTCATTTTCCTCGAGGGCCCGTGGGGCATTATACGAGGGGGTGGCAATAGAACAAAAACAAATAGAACAGTAAGCACAATTATAACACTGTAAGCTAGTTAGGTAGCTAGGTGTTGTCTTGTGCCCACTATGAGCAATGGTGCATGGTACCACCAATACCACCTGCCAAGCACTCTGGCCACACTTGATGGATGCTGAGGACGAGGCGTCGGCGTGCCACTTTCTGCATTTCTGCTCAGTAAACTACCGTCGTCTGCTGGCGAATGTTCGGCCATAGTCCCCAGCTAGCAGACGACGAGCAGACAGAGGTTGGCGCATCGAGCTCTCTGCAACGTTCAGTAGGCGGTGCCGAGGGTACCTTGTGCATACCTGCCAACTCTTCCGAATCTTTCGTAAAATGTATTAATTGTGACTAATTTTACAATTTTACGAATATTGCCTCAAATTTTACCAAAAAAATCTAAAAAAAAGTTACGAAGAAATGCTGAAAAGAGACTGCTTCTGGCAATACCTTGCACCGCCACAAGAGGGTGGTAGGTACCTTCCACGGCAGAGTCGTGGTTTTTACTATCCGTCTATCCGGTGGCCACGGATCCAAAACCAATTCAAAGCCCAAAGCCTTTGTTTGTGTGTTCAACGGCACCACCGATCTCGCACATTGGTTCGGCGTGTTCAGACGTGGTTGGGCCTCTCTGTTTCGGCTAGTTTCGAGGCGAGAAGTGAAGCGTCCGTGTTTGTTGCGCATGTAATCATAGCATTCCCCTAGTCGCGGTAGCTTCGCGGTGCAATGGCAAACTCCAAACCTCAAAAGATGTACTTTCAGGTGTTCCTGAAGTCCTACACATCAGAATTCCCGTACTTTGTGTCGTCCAAAAAGGGAGAGAAGTTTGGATTTTCTAGCACATGCACGTGTGATGGCTAAGCGTTTTGCACGGTGGCAAGGCTGACATTAAGCTGCACATTGCTTTTCATAAACACCCCCCCTTCGCGGCCGCGCGAAGTTTTACGAATTCGAAAGTCCACAGGTTGGCAGGTACGCATGTGCCGTTCAACATTTACCTGCAATATCTGGCTAGTACCGCGAGAAAGGATATGCGTTTGTTGGAGTGCCGGGTCACGTTAGAGGCTGTAGCGATCCTCAAGGTTGTGGTGAAGTAGACAACTCGCAGCAGTTAAGTAGTTTCTCTGTGCACACCAATGCGTGCCAAATTACAAAAGGAGCACCATTTCTATGAGCGGTCTCTTACTCTGTATGCTCAAGGTTTCCAGGCAAACTTAATTTTTGTCTTTCAAATCGAGTTTTGTTGTATTTGAGACTGAAAAGTTATAGCAGTGGGAAGGGAAGAGATGGGTGAATATAGGAGAACTAGGCTGGAGCGTTCTGTGAACCAATGCACAAGAAGTTATTGAATGCCAGGGTATGAAATCTTTACTCTTGAGTGAGAGAGAGTGAATTTTGGAATTTTGGCCTCTGTGTTTTTGTGGAAGGTTGCGCATATCTGCTTATGACAGTCAATGGCTCCCAGACTAAAATGCCTTGTCCTATGTGCAGTCTTTTATTTTTTTGTAGGCCATGTTTCTGGTGGCTGTTTATTCTTAAATCGACGAGAAGAACCTTGGTCTCTTCCTTCCGGAAGTTGCTGATGGCATTTATCCAGGCAGAATTACCATAATTTCTGGTCTATTAGTTGCATCACTGTATAATAATAATAAGTTTATTTTCCAACAAAAAGTACAATATTTGTGGGGGTTTAGGAAAAATGCTGTTGAAACAGCTTAACTAGTTTCACTAGTTGACTAAGTTGCACCCCTCTACAAAAAAGGTCTTTATATAAGTTGCATATTTGTATGAGTTCACTAGTATATTTGTATGGTCGGCACGGTAAAATTGCATTGATGAACCCACATAGGTGTATTGGGATGGCGATACGTGCGGAAACAGGAGCCAGTTTCAATATTCTCATCAATGAATGAAACAAGATATATGACCTGCACAGCCAATTTGCTCAGTTAAGGTCTGCACTGTTGCATAAAACGCACCAACGGAAATTTTGGGATTGAACTGCAACTTGAACACCGAAAGATGTGGTGTGTTAGCTGAAGTGGCAGAGCTTCAGTTAGAATGGTTACGCCTCCCGCCAAACAAAGGTGGTCTGCTGTTTTCGTCACCTCGCCGGCATTTTTCGCCAACTGATCCTATTGCAACAGTTGCATTGTTCATTGCACAAACACCGACGGTGCCCAAGCTCTGCCGTCGAGCGTAGACTTTCCTGGAGGTCGCACTTGAATAAGTGCCACCTGGAACTTCGGGAAGGGCCTGGAATCATTGCATTGTATTTAATGTTTGCCTAAAGGATCAGGAAAATTAAGTGTTCTCTCGAGCCTCGCTGCAAATTTGTAGCAGAATAAATCGGGGGTGGAACGGCTGCACCATTTACACCATCTTTCGCCTGATGCATTTGCCTGCGCCATCCTGTGCCATGTTGCGGAAACTGCGCCACAGTCAATACCTCGCGCCATTATGCACCAAATCGCAAAACGTGCGTCCAAAAAATTCGATTTGTCTTGGTTTCGGTTTTTATCGACCCGATTGGCAACAATGAGCGCGTTTAGCTTGGTCGGCCTTACAATCCTTTGTTCTGTTTATTCTCCCTGTGTATGCCGAGTCGAAAGCGCAGGAAAAAACTCGCGGGTCACATTCCAAGCGCTACATCACCTGCGACTGGATTGTTATTCTTCAACCATCAGCGGTTAAGCAAGTCAGCCGAGGTGAGGTCGAGTCGTTAAGCGTCTGATTGCCTGAGGCTCTGCGGCCCGGGATCCGGACGTCAGCCAGTTAAAAACAATTGAGCAAGAGATTCCTTTTAGCACTTCATTGTTAGATGTTGGAACCGCATTCCCGCAAGATAAATCGTGATTTTATAGAACTGAAACGCGGTCCGATCCGAAGCCTTGCCGGCCAGCAGCTTTCACACGAGCGGTAAGTCTGCTCGGCGTACTTCAACCTCGCTCCTGCTTATCGCTTAGTATATGATAACTCTGTTAATCGTAGTCTGCTGCTTCGATATTGAGTTGCACAATAGGATAAACTCAACATTTGTTACCTTTTTCCTCCGCGCAACTGCACGCCCTTTGCTTACACACGTCACATGGTCCGCACATATAATTATTATGTCGAGCACGTGTGGGTTGTGCGATAAGCAATTCTGGTTTGCATATTGAGCAGGTGAAGCTACTCAGAAAATTTTAGACACTATCTTCAGAAACACATGGTACTTGATTTTTGGTTTTCATTAGGGCTCACAAAGTTTCAAGTTTTCGCATCTGTTACACTGTTATCCCATTTACTTAGGTTCCTAACAACTCATGTTCATCTGTGCTGCTAAGCACAATTGAAATTGCTCCCGTGCTTGTCTAAGACACAAGCTGAAGTGCAATATAAACTGATCTGAGCTGCTCCCTCCAGAATGCAGTTTTAGCTGCTCCCGTGGCTGCTCCCAAGTACATTTCGCGAGTTCCACCCCTAATAAATTTCTTGCGACAGTCGACAGGATGAAAAACGGGAACAGTTGACTCTGGTTTTATGGCAGTTACTGCGATAAAACCCTAAGGAGCACGTGGAGAGCGTAGCTACCTGTGCTGCACGTGCTGGCATCTGCAGTAGTAACTATTCTAAAGCCACGCCACTTTGTGCAAGCATTTGTCAATGCCTCATTTACTTCGTCTTCTATACAGATAAGGCGAGCACATGTACCTATGTTCCCAGCATTCTCCCTGGTACTGGGTGACTTGTCAAAAGGTCTTTCGGGACAGCACCCATTAGATGTTGTAGCCGCGACAGTTTTCACAAGCGGCTTCAGAAGCCACATGGCAGAAACTTGCAATGGGGGTTCGAAAACTGGCCGTTCGTCTCTGTTTCTGAGTCATACCAAAAACTGCTAAATAAACCACGCTCCAAGTACCTACGCTTGATTTCTCAATTGTTCCGTGGGTGCCACCATTCCGTTGCCTAGCGCAGTAGGATGCAATGAGCCCTTTGCAAAGCTGGTAGCGCCTTCCGCGGCGCCGAAAGGAATGCCGGGAACGTGAGGTAAAACCGGCCGTAGCAGACAACTAGAGCCCTGCGTGGATAGCAGTTTAAGTATCCGCGTCGGATCCGCATTTGCAGACTTTGTATCCGCATCCGCAAACTTTTTACATTATTGTATCCGATCTGCATTCGCATACTTTGTATCCGCATCTGAACCGCATCCGCAAAATGTGGAACCATGTGGATGTTCTTGCTAACCCATAGAGGTTACGATTACAAAATCGACTAGCAAAATCAGCGGAATCGGAAGTCTGAATGCCTGAAAAAAGGTCATAAAAAAATTAAAAGAAGAAAAAGTTCGGAAAGAGAGGAAGATAAGCAGTGGTAGGAAGACAAAATCCTTTCTGTGATGTTACCGAGCGTATGCGGTTGCCTCGAGTACCATGGTGTTTCGTGTCAGCCAGTGGGCAGATGCGCTGCTAAGTCAGAGTCCAAGGCCTGATCAGATTGGCTAACGTGTTGTTTGAGAAAGATCGCAGCCCGCAGACGCCCAAATATATATATTGAAAGAAAACTTTTTTCTTTTTTTGCTTTGCTGGCGCCCTGGCGTTGTAACCGGACGAATATGAACTCCCAGACTTTCTTGGCTAGAACTCTAAGCAGACAAAAAAGAAACAGGCAATTTAAGGGTTGCCTATGTGCATGTGCCGCTGATTCCGAAACTTCGCAAACCGTGGCGCCACGGGGTCGCGCTTGCTGTCGAAGCATTTCTTTTGTTTTTGGTGTCATCACCACACCACTCTCTGCAGAGAGGGGAGGTTTCCTTTACTTTCTTGTAACTTTTTCGTTTGAGGTTTTCTTTGACCAAGAAATTTTTCCGCTCTTTCCCTGCTAAAGAACTAGCTTTCTCGGGACGATTCATGCTTTGCATTCTTTACTTTTACTTTTCCTATAGATAACATTTTTGACGAAATGAAATGCACTAACTGAAGCGATCTTCAGTAAGAATCAGATCTTTCTTAGGATCCCTATTGTTTCTTCGAAACGCGTTTTGTGGAAATGTATTTCGTGGACATACATTTCATGGACACACGGTTCGTCGACGCTGTACGCTTTGTGGGCACATGCCCCTGCGACGTTTTGTCGACAACGTATTTCTTCACTAAGCCACTAAAAGCTAGCGCGCGATTCACTAAGGTGTGCTTAATTAAACCATGTCTCCCTCCCCCCTGTAATCCAGGCGAGACGCAAAAAGTTTGTTACGAAAATAGCAGGGTTGTGTGCGACGAAATGTCTTAGGTTTTTCTATGAAACGAACACAAGAAGCCTTTCGATCAACCGTTGCATGTCGACGAAACAATCTGTAGATGAAACATCAGTCGACGAACTGAATGCCTTCCGGGCAAAAATATAGATCCGGATCTGCGGATATCCGCATCCGCAGCCCCTAACATCTGCATCCGATCCGCAATCCCTCCAAATCCGTCTAATTGTTATCCGAATCCGCCAGTTTACTGCGGACATCCGCGGATAATCTGGGATATGGAGGGCTCTACAGACAACAGAGGCGATCTTGGCGGCGACGGCGAGCAGGCACGTGTACGATGCTGTGGCGGCAAGGAGGAGCGTGTTCATGCTGCATTTTGGGATTTTTGCGAAAGTTGCACTTTTAAAACAAAACTTTCTTAGGTTTAGATGCGGTGTCATGAACCTCGGGCAACGTTTTTTTGCTCCGTTGAGGACTGTGCTAAGATTTCCGGAGGATGAAAAAGCGTTTCCTGGGATTTTGAGTGAAGCTTTGGATGACCAGCAACATTGATTTGAAGCAACAAGACAACCGAAGTGTCGTTACTCGGACGCGTGGCTTATTTAGAAGCACTGCGACTCGCACTGTTGCGCATCCGGGGGCTCTAAGTCGGACACCCGGTGAGAAATTCGGCGAGTTCGCCGATCACCGGAATTGGACGGCGCTACGCTTTACCCTGGTGCTGGCTAATCGCGGTGCAGCACCTACCAATTGCCGCAGTCTGCGATCTCGCCGAGCGTCCAACTTGTAGCCCCTCATTGGACGTGTTTCAAGTTTGAGAAAAGAGGCGCTCACTGGTTTGCTTTCTGTTGGGACCAGGTTAGAGGAAAAGATCCGTCTGCGGAGGCTGGAACGGGAGGAGAAGGAGAAGAAGGAGGCGCTGGAGAGGGAGAAGATGCGCCGGAAGATGGGCCAGGAGATCTCGTCCACACGCCAAAAGTGAGCCCCTTGCACCTTCCCTCGCGATTGGATGGAGTTACATTCCCCATCCATATAATAATAATAATAATAATGAAAGATATCATAAACTCTCGCACGGTGTATCATCGGACCGGGTGTGACAACAGAGTGGGACCAGTCACGATCTATGGGAAGGTGGACGGGTCATCGTCGATTGCCCAGTAGTGGCAGCGTCGCGAAGCAGATTCGGGGGGGCTTGCGCACATTATCTCTTGCCTCGCTGCGCTCGGCGTGCAAAGTGCACGCACTACCATGGCCGCCATCCCACGATGCCCTTGGGGTGTGTGCCCATTTATAGTCGATGACAGGATGAGGACGGCAGAACGTCTCTTGCCTGGTCTTCAGCAAGCACTTGTTTCCTTTTTTTTCATGCTTTTGCCGCATATATACGCTCAAAGCTGACAAGACTCTGAGGCCTAACTGAATGTAGGGGGCTTGCGCTGAAGGCGAGGCAACCGAAAGACCTCGCGAGATCCTCTCATTAGTCCTACGCCTCGGGAGTCCCAACTCCACGCGGCGACGCTCAACCATGAAAGCAAGTTCATCGTCGCGACGCTCGCCGCACTCCGGGAGCACGAGTCCAGCGCTGGACTCGACGAGAGTAAGGATGTTTATTGTAACAAACAGTGCTATGCACTACCTAAAATCTCGGTACGCGCACAAAGTCATTTTGAATAGATAAACGGAAAATATTAGGTCATTAAGCTTCGAAAATTAGACGGCGAGATTCGACAAAAAGGTGTCCGTTAAACACCGCGGGAATGATCATCGACCGCATGGCGGCGTGGGAACTGATGCTGCATATTGCAAGCACCGCAGATTCGTGTTTTACGGTGCAATAAGCCCGCAGTCGCGGTGACCGACGTCGCTGACAAAGCTTGCGAACACCACAGACTCGGAATTTGTGATGCGACACTCTGAGCTCGCTCATTGCATGTACCGGCGCTGCACATTGTGCAGTTGATTCGTCGGAAATCGAGGTTGCGCGACGTTTCCGAATTTTTTAGTCTGCGGATAATTAGCTAGAAAAATGGGATGGGCGATCTCTCGGAGAAGGGTGTTCCTATGGAACTTTACGGTAGCGGCGGCCATTGAAGTCAAACGTTCGGACGGTCAGTCACAAAAGGGAGTCTGAACACTGGATGTCCGCTCGTCGGCTGGTCATGTTCCACCGGGACGTTCTCCCTGTGCGCTCCTGAATCCCGTGCCACGAGCCGAAGCTGCCGTGGTGGGAGCCCCAGACCCAAGACCGTTTCTCGCGGTTCCCGCTGGTTTTGCGGGGATGCCGGGACTAAGTAGGCAACGGGAGCAAAATGGCATGCTCTCGTTCGGGGGTCCAAGGATATTGATTTGCGAGGGGAGATGGAGGGCCGTCCCATCTTCCCATCGGGAATACTGTGCTATTCTCTCTCTGGGGCCCTTTGCGTGGTTGCAGTGGCGAACAGACGCTTGTGCCACGACAAGCGTTCGGAACCACAGTCCCCACAACCCCTCACTTGTTCACATCCTGTCTGTAATGCTAAGGTTCTGAAATGGAAGAGTCTAAAGCAAAGCTTTACAAGAGTATATAGAAGGCAATTTTTTTTTCCTTCATATTTCAAATTATGCAGCTTTTGATTGGGCTAAATGGTTCTTTAGTATTTCATCCTGATGCAGCGTTGCTATGAAATGATAGTTTTTGTTGTGAAAGAAGTGCTTTGAAAAATGTGGTTTTCGATTTTAAGCAAATTCTTCATGTTTGAAAACAGAATAAAGCTTTATAAGGAAACAGCATGCTTAAAGTCGCCCGACTCAACAATTGTTTTTATAGAAAATGCACGTCACCTGCATTCAAACTACCCTCTTGTCGCACAGCGTTTGGAACTGCTGGAAGCCAGTAGAGTTTAACCCTGGTATAACGAATTACGTTATAACAGGGTTGGACCTGTTATAACAATTCATAGCGCCCGCTTGAGATGGGGCGATTTCACCCAGCAACTTGACGTCGCAACTCCAGCAACACGGGCCGTCCGCGTTCACACGCAGCAACCGAATTGCTATGACTTTCCATCATCATCATGAAATTTGATTTTTCTTACACTATTTAGACGCACAGCTACGCACTAAAAATGTAGCCACCTCGGTGGCTCCGAGGCGAGAGCGTCGGCCTACGGATCCCCATGTGGCGGGTTCGAATCCCGGCCTAGGTGCCCGCAATCTGACGGAGGCTTATTGCAAAGAAGACGCCGTGTAACCGAGCTTTCGGTTGCACATCAAAAGATCCCCAGGTGATCGAAATTAATCCTCAGTCCTCCGCTGGGGCATGCCAGATGCCCGCCGTTGGTTTGTCACGTAAAACGCCCAAATTTGACTTTGATGCACTAAAAACGTCTTTTTATATCTATCTTTGAATGGCGTTGACAATACTAACTCGTCTTTCTGTGAAAAGGTTTATTTCCAAAAACGATCCATTTCAAACCAGAACCAAGTTTATAGCTGTCATCATCACCTCCACAGGGGTGTCACGTGAAAATATCACGTCTCTGATTGGCTGCAGCCGCTTCAACCGTCTTCGAATTGCTTCGAGTTGCTCGCTTGTTCGAGCCAGACCCAATCACAGCAATTCGTGTCGATGTAGGGAAAGCTAGGGAACAACCCGCCAGCAACCTCAAAATTGCTGGAAAAGTTGCCCCGTCTGAAGCGGGCCTAGACAGAACTGCCGAAATCATCACCTCACATTACGTCTTGTGACACCGGGTGTATCTCGAAACTACCCATTCTTATTTGAACACTTCTCGTTTGAACCCATTCGCAAAACGCCCTTCTCGTTTTAACCTTTCGCGTTTCAACCTTTTCTTATTTATACCCGTCTCATTTGAACCCATTCTCATTTGAACCCTTCTCGTCTGAACCCATTCGCAAAACGCCCTTCGCGTTTTAACCTTTTGCGTTTCGACCCTTTCTCATTTGAACCCGTTGTCATTTGAACACCGTAGTGAGGTATAGAAAGAAGGGAAAACAGTTGAAGGATGAAGGTTGAAGATGAAGCGAAGCGGCACCATCTCTTGCATAGCACATGAAACAATTTTCCTTATGCCTGCGTGCCACCCCGAGTCTGTTGACGTAGCTACGTGGTCACATGGTGACGTAGTTTCAAAAGTGCTAGTGCAGATTCGGTACTTCATTTATGTCGTTAAGATGTCGTCGTGTGGAACGGATGGATCATTGTGCTAGTCTTGTGTTAGTGCTTGTAATGGCCAATTCGGGTGGTCATTTTCCCTGAAAAAAAGTTTTCCCATATCTTTGGCAAGAGCGTTCGCGTGGTCAAAGGCTGGCGGGTGCAAGCTTTTCGGGTTGCGCTTCTCAGGCGTGTACCGGCAATTTACCAGCAGAAGTTTTCCCGAGCTCCAAGAGGTCGGGCAGCTTGTCTGCCATACTGTATCCGGTATCGTCACATCCGAATCGGAATAGGGAACCAAACGAAACAATGCTCGCCGAGGCGGCAAATCGCGGGTTCGGGTGGCAAACGAAGGCATCGAGACAGGCACTTTTTTGTGCTCTGAGACAAGATAGCAAAAACAACGAAGAGAAAGATAATTTATGTTTCATAGAAAGTCAACATTTTTGGAAGACTTTATCCAGCCTGAGCAAGGTTTGTTTGCTCTGAGACACGGGCTGCATCATACATCACTTTATTTTACAACTCTGTAATAACAAGTTATTACACCGCTGAAAGAAAAAGTATGCATAGTGATGCAGTTTGAAACTTGAACATGCATTACAATTTCAAGGAGGGTGGATGCAATGAGAAGACTGAGGATTCCAAAAAAGGTACTAGAGAGTTTTAGTAGATCGTTCCGATACCCACGATAGCCCCGATAACGATACTATGCATGCGCAAGGGAGGCTGTGGCGGAGTATCGGGTATCGTTATCGGAGTCATGGGAACTCTCTACTAACAGTAAACAGAATATGGAAAGCGACGCTGGCAAGCCTCCGTGGCAACAGTTAATCGAAAATCCAAACAAAGTTTATTGAAATTTGACGCGCGTGCAGGCTGCACCACACTGATTTATACATTTGCCCTTTCATTGACTTTATATTTAATATTCTGTCAGCTGTACGGACTGTGGTAATGCCAATATTTTGAAAAGTTTTGTGAAGCCGCTTCTGTTTACACACATCTTAGAGTCGTAATTTATGTTGTTGGCGTATGCAGCTTGCTCATGGTACCATAGAATGATCGAAGAAGAAGTTAACAGAGCTCACTCGCGACCCAGTCAAATAAAAACGCCAGTTTATTGTGCTTTGCATTCGGGTGGAGAGGGTCACGTGATGCGCCGCTGGCGCGTTTTTGGTCGCCGGTGCCACAGGCAAGGGCTCGAAGCCAATTAATTACCCGAATTCGCCATAAATACCGCAGAACGATTGCAAGATCATGATGTTGAATTAATTTGGGTTCGAAATGAGAGAGGTTAAAATAAGAAAAGGCTTTCTGACTATGGTCAAAACCAGAAAGTATGTTTTGAAAAAATTTGAAATGAGAAAAGTTAAAATGAGAAAAGTCGTTTTGAGAAGGGTCAAAACCCGAAAGTTTGTTTTGAGAATGGTTTAAATGAGAAAGGGAGAAACGCGAAAGTTGTGTTGCGCTGGGTTGAAATGAGAAGGTAAGAACGAGAAGGTAGAAATGCGAACGGGTTCAAATAAGAACCACCCGTGACACCAGGGTGCCACAGTCACGTGACATCATGATGTCGAGTGACGTCTTTTGAGATCAGGGTGTCACGTGACGGGACATTGTGGTGTCGTCTGCTAGTAGTCGCCTAGATAGTTTCATGGCTATTAGCCCCGAGAGCGAACACAAGCGTCGCTGCGGTCGCCGCGCCCTGATTGGGTGAGGTGTACCGTGACGTCAGGGGGAGGACTCCGCTCCGTGATCTCGCATCGGCTCGCTTCCCAGCACCGGTTTCCTGGTTTGGCGTTGCATGCCGCAAGCTCTTTGAGGAGCTGGACTTCGTTTACCCGGTGTACATGACGTTTAGCTAGGTCGGTATTGACGTGCTTCCGTACATTTTATAAGCCTGCTTGACCCCTTTACCTTTGAAATTGGATTACAAATCCCGAAAGCTATCGTCGTAGGCAATTCCGCCGATGAACCTCCCCGTCCGTCCACACGACACAAGGCAATCTTGTGAGGGGTCGTAGAAGCGGTGGCGCAAGTGTTTCAGACGCTGGAATTCTGTTCCTTGCATGTTCATGATTTAGGACGATATTACATCCCGCTTTCAAGACATTTGAAATGGCATTTATATTATGGGCCTTTGGGTGGTCAGCAAATTAGCTCGCGACGCCGACTCTGCGCTGCCACTCTGCATGCGCTGGTTCGCAGATGTTTTAAAGGCCCTGTGTCTGATGATCTTGGAAGTGCTCGTGGAACAGGGTTGTTTTACATAAATGTAGCTTCTTCCTGAATTAATTATATAATTTATACACGAATGCAGGCATATTTCTTATAAGATGCACAATTACTGGAACTTAGTTTCCAAAAAGGGCCGAATCGCCCCAAGTTGCCTGTATGATATATATTGAACTGCTCAAAATATGCACAGCAATAGTGCCGTAATTCGGTATGCTTATACTTTTTCCTGACATTCTTTATTCCAGCCTTGGGTATTCGGAGAATACACCGTTTAGTCTGAATTGTCATTTCCAATTAAAAGAGACACTGCTGCAGGTCCCCAAAAGCTTCCTCAGCCTCCAAACTCCCTACAGCTGGACACTCGGACAACAGAGGAAAGCAGGAGTAAAAGCAAGCATTCGAACGTCTGTCCAGTGGTACATGCAGCACCAGTAGCAGAAAATGTAGAACGTGTGAAGGGCGACAGTCTGCGTGAGAAAAGCTTCTGGTATTTTAGCTTCAGGACATTTTGATTTAAGTCAAATCTCAATTTTAGGGCTTAAGGGACTAATAACGAAATAGACACCTTCGCTTACATTTGTTGTAGATTACTTGAGGGATGATATAAACAAGAGTACAGATACAACCAGTGGAGCCCATTGAAATACTATCTGAATCCAGCAAAGGTGAAACGCGAGCTATGTATATAATAAATGTTGCTTGTTTTTTTACTTTGCGCCTGCAGTTGGGCTGTCTTACTTGTGATTCTCTCCCCATGGCCAGGCTGTATTTAGCATGTTGCTTGAGCAGCATGCAGCTTTTCTGCTTCGGCGATCTTGTTTAAAAACAGAGGTACAAAAAAAGTATACATAACCTGCCAATTCATTCAGACCATCAGCAGCATTTATTGTGCGAGATGTAAATCTATAGTGATGCTCCGGCAATTGTGGCCATATTTCTTTATTTTCATATACCAGCTGTGGTTCATGCATTGCCTGCCGTGTCAACCATGCTTAAAATGTTGGTTGAAGTTTCCCCTGTAGCTACAGGCCATACCTCAGTAAGTCACTTATAATAATCTACACTTCCTAAGAAAAACTCGCAAAAGAAATTAAATCGAAACTAGCGCGCCGACAGCTAGCGTCGTCACAGTCTCCACAAGGCGAGCGGGGCGAGTCGGGGAAAAATTCTCTCCTCGCCGTGACGTCACCCCGGTTCACCGTAAGGGGGCGCCACGCGAACTTCTCGGGGCTAATAGACGAGCGAGTCATTCTCCGAGCATGCATTGGCGACATTTCTTCCACGTAAGGCGCAGGATACGTACGGATACATTTGGGTCCGACCGTACCATGGATTCTCGCAGAACCACAACTTTTTTTTCTTTTGTAGGATCGAAGAGGAGGAGATGCGGAAGCTTGCGGAACAACGGAGGAGAGAAAAGATGGAGGACAAACTGGCGAGGTACGTCGGCGCCTCTGTCTTCCTTGCATTAGCTCTGTGATCCAACTGATCTAGGTCGACCCGCGCGCTTTCCCACGGACGTACGACTACGCTTACTGCCTCGTGATGACCCTTCAGGCTCGCTCTTCCCGCGCACACCCTCGGCACAGTTTGTTTAGATAGAGACGCCGATCTAGCTTCGCCTAATCACTCAGCACCTCATTCCTTGATTATCATGTGAGCGCCGCCGCCATTTTGATGCTTTGTGCAGGGCGGGCCCAATTGACAATATTTACAATTCGAAAATACGACTGTGTCGGCTTTAGATGCAACATCCGGATGCCGTGGCGACATAATTCTTATCGGTCACCAACTGTTTTAACATCTCAGGGGGGCAGAAAAGCCTTTCCTGCGATTGCAGGTAAAGCTTCAGACAATCGAATAATGGTTTTAGTCGCCGAGACGGCTGAAGCGTTGTTACTGTGAAGCCTAACTTGGCTCTAGGTTCAGCGTTGGATTTGCAACTGGAGCACCCCGGTTCAAAGCAAGGCGCTTCCTCGCTTCCTTCGCTGCTTTTTTACGCAGATGAGCTTGTGTGAGACGCTCCGGGGTTGCAGGAAGTGCGTCGCAGAAATCTGCCGGGAAAATGAAAGAGCACAAAGTTCGACGGGTTTTTAAGTTTCGATTTGCAATCGGAGCGCATCTCGGCCCCGACGGCACTGCGCCCCATGGAGAAATAATGCAACCAACCTCTGCTGCACTGTCATCGCGCGACGCAGTGGATGCTGGTTGCACCGTTTCTCCATGGGGCGCGGTGCCGTCGGGGCCGAGATGCGCTCCGATTGCAAACCGAAACTTAAAAACCTGTTGAATTTGTGCGGTTGTTCAGAAAGCCGTAAAATGCTTCGCGTGCCTTTTATCCTTCTGCAATTTCTTTATTTAGTGTTCTTCGACGATGCTTAGCAATTTTCTAATTGAAACCATGTCCTTAAACGGATACTTTATCGAAATTTGAAATATTCCCGTCGTGTTCAAAAATAGGTTGAATATGATCCACAATATCCGTAAATGACAATCGCACGTCTGTATTTTGAGCCTGGTGGCTGTATTTTTCGTTATAAACGGCCCACTCTGGCAAGCGCTCGGAGAAGGCCCAGCGGAGACCACGTGACATCCAACACAATCGTGACGTAGGTCGTCTCGGGACGAGCAAAGCTACGGCGAGGCTGACGTCGAGGGGATGGCCTAGTCGTTCCAGCCACCGAAGCGGCTGTTTTTGTGCGAATTTTGAGTTCCGGGTTAATCTTCTGTAATTTTGTAGGGGGACAATAGCTACTTCTGGAATACACAAAAGGGATTCTCGGAAGGAGGGGAGTTCCTCCTGCCCCTCTTCTCTCGTCATGGCCGGAGGCGAGACACTCACCGTCACTAGCTGTCAAGGTTCTCAGACGGGCATTACAAACGAGGCTTTAGCGACATCCCCCAGGTGCTTTTTGATAATCGTTTAATTTGTTTTAAAATTCCTTTTCGTGACTTTTTTAACAAGATATTGGTGTGTTCGATGTTATGCTGCTCCTTTGAACATATATAGACCATAAAATAAGCATTGAAATTTCGTAGCATCCCTTTAAACACAGTATTAAAAAAGTTAATTCCGCAAAAATATTTAACAATCTCATTATTCGGGACAGTAATAATTTTCCTAAATAGACCCCTGGCCAAGGACCAAAATGACACAAGCCTTTTTTTGTTGCGAAAAGTAGTTTTTGCAATATTGAATTTGTCCACTTTTCGTGAAACAGCCTGTATAACGGATATGTGCCGCCTGCTTCGTAGGTTACAAACTAACATACCGATGCGAAAATGCGCAGGGTGCTCGTAAAGGGTCTTGCATATATTGAGCTCGTAATTGAAATGGGCCGGATCTGCGTTCCCACACGCAGGCAAAAGATCCTGGAGCAGATTGAGCGGGACAAGCTTGCCCGGCGGCAGAAGTTTGACATGGAGCCCCTGCCCGCCACGACCAGTCAGCCGTCTCCCCCGCCACAGGTCGAAGTCGCCCCCAAGAAGGACTACGACCAGTGCAAGCTCCAGGTGGGTGCCGACGGGCAACAACGAATCGTGCTGTTGCTCGCATGGGGCAGCGCACGCAGCTGCCGCGCAAAGGTTCGGGGTTCGAACCTCACTGCAGGCACAGTTTACGGCGAGGGCTGTTAGGGGCTCTTCCCACCACTGGAGATGACGTCCGTTGTCAAAATTGTCGTCGTCGTCAACGTTGTAGTTGACGATGTAGGGCGTCCTTCATTGACGTTGCCGAACCCTCGAAAAAGATTGTCCGTCGCCCGCGGGAATCGAACCTGGGTCTACTGCGTGTGTGGCAGAAGTGTTAACCGACCTATGGCACAGCGTTAACAACCCGCTCTATACTTAAAGTTTTTGTTGTACCTGATGCTCACTGAATGCGCTCTGTGGGAAAAAAATAGCCTGTAACAAAATACCATCGTAGCACTTTCAATGCCAAGAGCTCGTGCCGGGAGACGCTCTCTCACACGCTCCAGAACAAAAGAGCGTTTGCAACAAAATGAAACAACAAAATAAGTGTTTTGGCACAAATGAGATGGTGTATATTAAACATGATTCAAAAACCCTGAGACTGCTGGTAACGACACATTTTTTTTCCCCCCTTTTTGTTAGTTTTATTTTCCTATTTAACCAGGTTCTGGAAAATAAAATTTCAGCTGTGTTTGAGACTTGAGCGTGTGTGTCGATACCTGCAGTCTGGGGGTTTTTGAATTATGGAACAAAACACAGCATCGTTTGGAACGAAACATCCATAGTAGCCGGAGACACGGAACAATAAAAAAAATGAACCAAACAACAAGAAGTCTCGACAGATGTCTATTTTGATCCAAACGCTTTTGTTCACGCACCCCACGGTGCATAGCTGCGACGCCGATGCCTAACGACTTCGCCGTGACGTGTTGCAGCAATTGCTGTGACTGTGCTATCGGTTATGAGGAGACTGCTTTTTTTTTTTTATGTTTATTTTTATGGAAAATACCAGTTCTTGGCTGCTATTGTGTGTTTTGGTTTGAACCTTCCTCAATATAGCGTGCGCATAAACGCAATTCTAGTTCGCTGCTGAAGTCAGTCAGCCTTGCGTCGCCGACACATGATTACTTTAAGGCCCAAGCTCATCTCACTAAACGCTAATCTTCAGTTTTAGACTTGTCTGCCAAATGCTGCACGTGTGGCGTAGTTAGCAATGCATGCGGCTGCCGCTTGGAGGACATGGATCGAACCCCGCAAGGCACAGTTTTTACTTTTATTAGTCTTTGCTCTTCTTTAACCTTCTGACTCATATATACAGAAATACAGGGTGTCACAAAACAAAATTTACATGATCTTTTTTACCGCAAAAATAAACTAGGCATCGCCGTACGCTCATTCTCTGCCCAAAGGTAGAGCCAGAGGTCACCACCAGATGCCAAAGTTTCAGCCCGATCCAATAACTTAATCAAAAGTTATAACTGATTTTCTGAAAATTTCAATGGGAAAATGGCGCCCATTTTTGCCCATTTTCGGTTTCTGGTGCCATAGAGCACCAGAGTGTTCGAAAACTCCGTCGGCTGCCATCTTCCCATTGAAATTTTCAGAAAATCAGTTATAACTTTTGATTAAGTTATCGGATCGGGCTGAAACTTTGCCATCTGGTTGTGACCTCTAGCGCTACCTTTGGGCGGAGAATGAGCATTCGGCGATGCCTAGTTGTTTTTTTTTGTGGTAAAAAGACTGTGTAAATTTTCTTTTGTGACACCCTGCACATTTTTCCCGAATTGTAGTGTGCGAAGGATGGAGTTGGTAATTACTTCAGATGGTAGTGTTTGTGTTCCTCCCTTTGTGTTACTTTATGCACTTCCCCTTAGAACGAAACCCTTCATCTATTCACAACAACTTTTCCAAATTCCGCAAAAAAAAAAAAAAAAATTATACATTCACGTTTAGTAACTCAGTTAAGTAGTGGGGGCCAACGGCCTTCTGCCTTGCTTGACAAAAGGCTCAACCCTGTTTTGCTGTGAGGGTGCGTCTCAACTTGTCCTACGAAGACACATGTGGTCCACTTTCAGGCAGTAAAAGTAAACAGGCCTAGCAAAGGCCGCGTCGCTTTCCGTGCCCAGTGTTGCTGATGCAGAATTTGCTTTGAGCATCGTAGGGCGCTTTCTTTTACTGCAAAAAGAAGGCCGAAGGCATTTGAAAAAGGGTTCGTAGTGCACAGAGCATGGTTACTGTGGCGCACCTGTCAGTGGAGACATGCCACAAAGGAGACCTAGGTAAAATTACATTTACACAAAACATTTTAAGATAGCAAATTGATAGCAAGTTAAAGGGACTGTCCGGTCAAATCTAGTATTCGAGAAAACGTAATATCATTGTTATTGCCTCAAGAGGCATTGTACATGCAATATCTGAATTTTATATGCCCCTCTGTGTGAGTAATTGAATTTATACAGTGTAGACTGCATATAATGTATGTCGCGAAAGTCGCGAAAATTCGAATTATAGCGGTACCGCGCTATAACCAAAACATCAATTTTTCAGGCCAAAATACATGCCATGAGACAACTTACCTTTGTAAAACAATTTATTTTATGTTAGATGAAAAATAAAGCTTAGTTTGAGGAAAGTCTTTATTTCACCTGACTAGTACACTTCTCTCTCAAGTGTGTCACACATTTTGAAAAAAATGAGCGACTTTTGCCTGCCGCAGCCTTTTAAACGGCGTCACGGGTTGCGAACGAACGTTGCGAGCGTTGAGGATTGCTAACCCTAATCACTTTTCTCTGGTGATGAAAACGCGTGAAAATTCGCATTCTTTATACGGTACGCGCCATTAATACCTTCAATTTGAGCACAGGCATGAAATGCTCCAAATAAGAAATCCGGGCGATGTTCGAAAACACAAATGCTTAGAAAGCACCACTGTAGTCGAAGTAAACAAACACGATGACACGGGCGTTTCTACCGTCTTGAGAATGCCGCCACGACATCGCCGCACGAGTATTTGGACCTTCCCTTCTAGTACGTGCTGGGTTATCATAGCGACACACAACAAAAATTCACAGCCAAGGATAGCGCTTCTACGCGGAATGATGAGCTTTCAGCACGCCGTCTACATCGACGATCACAACCGACGCCATGTTTGCGGATTGAAGAAAAGCTGCCCCAGCTGCCCCGCGACCGGCATGCAACGCACGTGAACACTTCTCCTTGATCTGCGATTGGTCTGTCGTTGCGTTTGTTTCTAACGCAGTGGAGAGACGCACGCACGTGAACGACACGTGCGTGTGTCCCTCCGTCGCTATGGCAAACTCCGTCACTATGGCAACTGAAGCTTCTCTCTTTGCTTCTCCCCGCTTCTTCGAGCAACCTCCTTGCCCTGCTGCGAGTGCCTCTTGCAGCTAGCGCCGTTATCTTGGTTTTCTAGTGTCGCACAGGGAAGCGTGCTCGCTGCGCCGGTTGGCGCCCTGTTTCAGAAACCGCACTATAACCGGTATTTCCTTTCACGCGCCTGCATTTTAAGCGGTATGTAATTACATGGAGTTCTATGGGAGGCAAACCGGTGGTTTAAAAAAGCCGCGTTATACCTGCTCCTGCACTATAAGCGGTTATGTTGTAAGTGGTCTATACTGTACCACAATAATCAAATGTGAAAAAGGTTGTGTAAAAGATGTAAATAAAATTTGGACTGTTTTTCGTCTTCAGTGGTGGTTTACATTTGCAATTTCTCCCCCCGATAATCACCGTTTTTAGCGTCTGCACGAGAGAATTCACCGAAAAGAACCGGTATTGGTGAAATAAATAAACACCGATAAACATCCGCCGATTTTCGTCATAAACACCGGAAAGTATACACCCTAACTATAACCGGTATTTCCCTGCATTTTAAGCGGTATGTAATTACATGGAGTTCTATGGCAGGCGAACCGGTGGTTTAAAAGAGCCGCGTTATACCCAGTCCTGCACTATAAGCGGTTACGTTGTAGGTGGTCTATACTGTACTGCTCCAATCGCACTCTAGCATAAACGCTGTTTTCGGTGGCAACATGGGAGCTCTGACGTCACACAACACAAAGCCAGCATTTCTGTCTCATTGTTTACCTGCGAGTGAACGCATCAGCGTGCTTCGTTTTTGTTGTTGTGCTCAACTTGTTTCGTGGTTGGGTGAGATTTTTGTTGCGCGGTTGGGTGCCACAACCACCGGGCAACACATGCGAGCCAAGACATGATGTTCCACATTTTTCCGCGAGACGTGCAGTGACTGCACGTCTCGTGCGTAGCGACTGGGTTGCCTTCAAGATCGAGATCCCACTTATGCAGCAATCATCTCACAGAAGAGAGCTACGAGCTGAGCTCTAAGCGGACAGAAGGCTCGTAAGCTGAGATGTGATGCTGGTGCCAACGATATTAAACTACGTCCATCCACTCCTCACCCAAATCGGATCAATCAATTTGTTTATGCAGCGAAACTGAAACCAACAGCTAGACCACCTGGAAATGATACCAGTAGTTGTATTTAGCATGCGTGCAGCCAAATTCTGTTTGACCCGCATGTGCAAATAGAGCGTGGCTACGATTCACCAAGCTCGTCCAAGTCAAGTGACGACATGCATTTGAACAATTCGCCGGTTGCCTTCGACCCTTGGTCATTGCCTCTGAGGGAAGGACCTGCAGCCTCATCACCGATCCAGTTGATCCGCCGAAATATGTACCCAGATGCCGCTTCGTGTACCTAGTTGCCGCTTCAGAGGCTTCATCTGCATCCTTTGCTTTGCAGGCGCTCCTAATTCGATCGGTGGCCGTCGCGGTTGTGTTTGCGCAAAACGGCATACGTTTGCTCGAAGCTTATGGCTGTTTTCGAGTAATATTCTGCTAGAAGGCGTGACTGTTTTTGCACACGCTTGAGAACTGCATTAAAAGATTCGTATTTCAGTAGGGTACAGGCTAGGACAGTGGTTCTCAACCATCGATGTTTAGCAGACCCCTTGTGGATCGGCGGAGATGATGGAGGACCCCGTTCGTGGTGAGAGGAGAGGAAAGGTGTAGGTCAAATATAATACTGATTTAATAAATGGATATAACTAAGGGCTAGCGTGAAGTAGACCTCTCTTATAAACGTTGACGTGAAAAAACTCGCCCAAAAACTAAAACATTACTTTTCGACCTAAAAAAAAAAAAAAAATACAACTTTTGTTGTTGGGCTTGACTGATGAGGCAGGGCTTCGCGGACCCCCATTTGACAACCACTGGCCTAGGAGACTATATAATTTGAAACAAAATACAAGACATCCATCGACCAACGCTTGTTATCCCGACCATCCGACAAACCTTTGTGTTTTGTGACGTGACGCAGCAGCTACGGATGTCAGCCGTTGACACTGGCAAAATTCGGGGTGCAGTTTCGTGCATACGCTCATGAAAGTTTTTATTAATAACGGGGGATCATATATCAAAATAAAATTGGCGTTTGTCTACAGGAAGGCTCCCTCGACGTAACGAGGGCAAAAACATGTACTTCCGGTTTCGACCGGACAATCCCTTTAACTACGCAGCAGAAATGAATGTAACTTTGTGGAAATCTTCAGATGTTGGTGGCCCTAAATCTGAGGAATATTTCCACAAAGGTTTATTTTTCCACTGCATGGTTAACTGGCTATCAATTATTTTCAGTGCCTCGGTGCTATATAAATCATACGAGATCTTGACGCTTTGAATGCATTTTTACTCATTCCCCGTTTGCAGTGTAAATTTAATATGCAATCTCTGCTTATCTAGTGGGACTAAAGGAAAGGCTCATTCTTCGTGTTTCCTGACTGAAATTTAATAAGAAATGTACCCGTAGAATTTGTTTTTTTATTTTGCCTTTTATAAAAAAAAGTTTAACATCCACTTAGAAACAGCTTAAGAAAGTTGAGTGCTTTTGCAAAACAATATTTATAGAGAAATAAATTACAACTGAGAAAACTATTTCCACGGGTTTACTCTTAAGACATTCTGCTTTGTAACTAGTAGGGAAAACTGCCGAGTATTGCGTTAGTTTGTTTAATAATAGATTGACTGAAGAATGTTGGTGTACCCCTGATAGGAACTGTCGTAAAAAGTTTCCTTCCATTTATTGTGACTAAGAGTCTGTGCCGTTAATTCGATTCATTTTAAGCTAGGGGTTCAAGAGTCGACACTCCCAGGTAGCGTCCTCACGTTAATGCACAAAATATTACCCCGTCCATCGACGCGCCCCTCGAACATGTGTCAGCTTTTTCGGTTGGAAGGTGCGTTTGTTACGCAGGTAAATACGGCGCGTCTCACAGTGCCTTGGGCATTCTAATAGATTCTGGCCTCCCATCCCTTCAGATCCGGCTGACCAATGGCCAGACACTGACGCAGACATTCAACGCACACGAGGAGCTTGCGGCGGTGCGGCTGTACATAGAGCTGAACCGGACGGACGGGGAGCTTCCCTTCTGCCTCATGACTAACTTTCCCCGGAAGGTCTTTGTGGAGGAGGACTACGTCAAGCCCCTCAGCGCACTAGGTGGGTTGGACACTCTCGCCCCTTTGGGCTCGTTCGCTCACTTGCGACTACTTATGACCGAGAGCCTAAAACCTTTTGGGATCACTTACGACGGGAGGACGGGCCAGCGCCATCTGTTGGGTGACCGTTGGACGTCTCGCGGTGCCTTGGGCGTTCTAATAGATTCTGGCCTCCCATCCCTTCAGATGCATTTCCGTAAAATTTCAACTTTTTTTTTTTTTTTTTTTTTGTAGGCTTCTGACACGTATAAATGACTGTTTCTCATAGAAAGTATCTACTGTATTTGCACCAATATACAGTAAAACCTCGTTAATTCAGCCACCGCTAATTCGGAAATTCGGATAATTTGAACTGCCGATCCGGTGCCGTCAAACGTGTGTATTAGTCAATGGCAGCAAACGCTCATTAATTCGAAGGGAACGCGGCGCAGTACGATTAATTCGGACGAATTCGGCAGGTGGCGCTAGCTACCGTCCGTTCCAAAGGGTATGACCGCTATCCATCCGAGGTGCACACATAGTTTTTCCGGTTTTCCCATGGTTCCTCGCTTTTCCGGTTCTCCGTGTTTGGCACCAGTTTTTCTCTGGATTGCCGTGCTTCAGCGCGTTACTCTCCTGGCACGGAAGCGGCAGAAGCATTGCTGCAACGAAAAAAGGGTAGCACAAGTGACCGACGACCGGAATGGCAAAATCTCGACACGCGGGGCTATTGCTCCCGAGCGTGCCGATAACGAGAGTGACAGTCACGTTTTATGCTGGGGATCCTAAAGCCCGCTATTTTAACAGCTATCTTGTCCCTCAATTTTTCGTCGGCCACCCCCGCATTGAAAAATGCAACGTGACTGACACACTCGCTATCGGTGCGCTCGGGAAAAATAGCACCGGGTGTCGTGATTTCGCCATTCCGGTTATTGGTCAGTTGTGCTACTCTTTTTCCTTTGCAGCTGTACTAGGCTGAGAATTTAGCGACGAAAGGGGAAATACTGAGGGCCTTGAAGGACGGCGTCTCTCGACAAGTGACGGAAGGTTACGACGTCAAGAGAAGCAGTTTGGCCACGTACGTGAAAAATTGAGGTCGATATCCTACGGGCTTTTGAGAGCGAGAAGTTCAGCACGAAAAGAAAGCGGCCTTGGAAGGTGGTGCACCCGAAACTAGAAGAGGCCTTGCTGTGCTATATTGTCCGCGCACGGGAGCTCCGGCAGTGCGAGTGCGGTGGAGCACTCGACCGCGCTAAGGAAAGTTGCCCTCTCCGCCCAAGTGTCGTCCAGAAAGCAGGCGGTAATAACGGATTTCTTCTCAAAATAAAGGTATGTCACAGGGAAACGCTTTTGCACAGTTTTCTTTGTGCTTTCGATATTTCGACTTTCGGATAATTCGGACATTTTTGCCGGTTCCATGAGATCCGAATTAACGAGGTTTTACTGTAATGCAAAACAAATTTTAAACCCTCTTCACCCCCCCTCAAAAGACTATTGCTATTATGATCGGAACATAAAGTTACTGCACTCGAGGGCATCGCAAAGGCGGCAAGGGGACGGGAATTGACCTTCTCATTGTCGTGACTTCGGAGATATCTCGTAGCTTCCTTTGCTTCGAGGTGAGCTCTTTGTTGACAAGCTCTTGAACCATGGCACACCGTGTCAAGTCGGTTGTCTTACGAAGCACAAACACAAGGCCTGAAGCACGCTTAAGCAGAAACCAAAAAATGCAGACGGAACGTAGACCGCTGGAAGAGGTACACGATCGATCGTTCTCGCCCTCGTTACACTCCCTCTGCATAAACACCCGCCTCGTGTTTCGTAATAGCATAAACCCGGCTTGCATTGGCTTGGCTTGTGTCCCGATTCGGCGTCGCTAGGCTCGGCTTGGCTCGAACTGGCCAGTGTCCTGCAATCCCACGCAGAGAGTCGTGTTGTTGCGGTCGCGTGCATTGTACATTCGTGTAAAGGACAGAGAACGCTTTCGACGTTCCCTGTTCCTCCCTTTACGTGCCGCCGCAACAACTAATGCCTTTCCTCCCCGCACCGTTTCTCTTTGCACCCATGCATTCGGTCGGAAGATGGATGGCTTTCTGCCGACTCGCGCTCCTTGTGGGCGAGCTCGATTCCGAATATAATGCAAAATGTTTCTTGGAGCGCGTGATTTCGATAAAAAACATTCTGTTACCTTTGTGTAGACACAGTACATTTGATCCTGCAAATACTGCAAAACCTTTGCTAGTGAAATGCAGTTTCAGGGTCGCCTCATAGATGACTCCAGCGTGTTCTTGGTCGTAAAGGATCACAAAAGCTTGCTTGTAAGCAAACACAAGTGTTTGAATGGGACTCTTTACTAGTCGGAACCCAACGTCAGGGTAGATATTCTCAGATCTATCGGTTGACAAGCTCCACTGAAAAGTGTCGTTCGAAAGCAGCCCTTCTCAATAGCCCACGCGCACGCAGGTACATGCAGATAACGATCCTAGCGCCACCGGTGGCACCGCTCTACCGAGCGACAAAGAAGGACCTTTATCGTACGACGCTCTTCTTGTGCAAACATTGTTCACCATAAAAACCACAACGGAATCGCCTTCCTCCACATGCAACGTGCATCCGGCGTTCCCCCGGTTCCACCTGTGCGGGCGCACCGCGAAAGGGCGCCGGGCGTTCTGGGAAGCTTGTCGACCAACCTTGATCTAGTAACATTGGTCAGGGTATGGTTATGATGAATCGTATCACTAATGGTGTACAAGAAGAACAATTAATTTACACTAGCTCGATCATGCTGACAAAGAGCACAGTATGAGCTGGGCATGTGCCGTGTGTATGTGATGTAACATAACTGATGTTGCACATCATGGCGTCACTTGATGTCCCAGTCGTGCAATGTCATGTCACGTGGCATCTTTGTGTCGTGCAACATCACGACACTACGGTAAGCATCTACCCTGGACTTCTAGGCCCACCTAGCTAATTGGAAAGCTTGTTCATGGTGGCCGCCCTCTCCTAGCGTGCCACTGCTGGGCAGTGAAGCCCACCCTGTTATGTGCCTCTTCTCCATTTTTGCACCCAGACCTAACCGGACCCTAGTTTTTCAATACAAATCTCCAGATATTGAGTGGGCAATTGTGCGGTTCTTTCCGATTCCTGCGCACGATGACGACGCAAAACTCCGAACATTTGAGAAGTAACAAACTGTCCTTGGCCCATCTTCACACGTAAAAATATCAGATTTAATGAAATGTCACTTTTATGACGACCGAAATGGTGATAGAGGCGCCGGTTTTAAGGCAACTTTCAAGATGGTTATCAGGAACACTCTTCGTGACTATGTGAAAAATATTAATTGTTTTCTGGACTGTCTGGGGCCATTTTAAAACATGCTGTAGGTTTTCTTTGTTTTCTTAATGCAAAAGCATTAGCTGTCCCATGAAGCACCGCTGGCGTTGTTTGTGACCCCGAAAAACTAGCAACTGAAGAACACTTCTTACGTGTAGAGTAGCTTTTGCTTTCCTACACATGCGCAGTGTTAAAGGGCCCCTGAAGAAAAAAAAGGTTTCTCCTTTTTAAACAGTCTGGTTGGGACACCTGTGTCAAGAAAATTGGCAGTTTCCTCCCATAGAGACTCATAGGATGGGACCTGCATGTTTGATGCGATTATCCTCAAATTTGAATTAAGAGAGTTTGAATTAACGAAATTCAACTATATTTCTGTACGAGTGATGTTTTTGGGTTTTGCAGCGTCCCGCCTATCCATCCAGCCTTGTTTTGTGAGCTCAAAATTTTGGTTTCAAGCCGAAAAGAAAAAAAAAGTGTTTTTTTTTAGTCTGGTTGGGACACACACTAAAAAGAAATTGCAATATTTACGGTGCAAGATGCGATTAGTTGGTAGTCACCTCCTTGCCACTTGTTCTCTCTCGGCCTTTCGGGTGATTGGAGGAAAGGTGGATCCTTTTGGCCATCACGTTGAGGTGGAGAGAGGGTATGACCATCTCGTTAAGGTGGAAAGAGTGCATGACCATTCCGTGACATCATGGATTTTGCGTGCAGGACACTTAAAATAAATATTGCTCTAAAAAAAGGTTTGCGTAAAATTATTTTTTTGACACCAGGCTGTTTAAAAAACACTTTTTTTTTCTTTTCAGAGGTCCTAGGCTGTGTTGCAGACTGTACAGTCTTCTCTTTTGTGTTGTTGGAAGTTTGATTTTGAATCAATGTATGTTGTAACATTTTCCAGGACTGGTACCATCAGCTGTCATATTTCTGACCAAAGCAAAGTGACCAGCTGGAAAGGCACGGGGAGCCGCTCATTGCCATCAGAGGGATCTGCTGTGCAAAATCTGCCCACCTGTATCATACTTTGGTATATAAAAAAAAAGTGTTTTAATAAATTCTTTGTGGTGTTCAAGCAAACACCACTCTTTGTTTTCAAAACTGGCTCGAGCTTCTTGTCTTTTGTCCATCTACAGATAGCAGTTTAGTATTGACAGGGTGTTTAGTTACCGGGAAAACTGGGAATTGTCAGGGAAATTTTAATTGCCAAGAAAAATCGGGGAATTGTCAGGGATATTCTCAAAAAACGGGCCCAGTCAGGGAAAATGATCCTGGAGCGCCATTGAGTGCCCTGAGTAAAGACTTGAGGACTTGGGCAGAAATATACGCAATAAATTCTGCTTAGAGCGAAGCGCGGGCTCTGCTCGGCCGATGTAGAGTGTGCTACCCGATGAAAAGGGAACCAGCCAACAAATCCAGTCCAAGCCTTGGATTGAATTGGATTAGATTGAGGGCATGACAGGCTAGATCCAGTTACAGCTACTAGATTTAGCAACAAATGGGAGAGCCGCCAAGGAGGTTATAATGGGCAGGAGGTGGCGTCCCTATCCCTAATGCATGGAGCGAAGTGTAACGGAAGTAGGCGTGGCCACGAGCCGCAACGAGCACTTCTTGACCAATGGGAAGCCTAGTGAGTAGGCGCCGCCATTAATTTCGGTGCAAACAACCGCGTTGCGATTACATTTCCGTGGCAACGCGATTGTGTGCACCGAAAGTAATGGCGGCACCCACTGTTATTTGAAACAGCGCTTAACGGGAGACTTTTAAACCGGTATGGTCGGAATTGAATGAGATTATTATAAACGAACGCCTGGTTGCCCAGCAGAAAATAAGTGACTAGAATTTAGACGCTCTAGACGACGCACCGTGAAGGACTTGGCGGTGCGCAACGCATTTTTTAATAAACAGCAGCAGCAGATCGCACGAGCGCGCATGCAAGCCAGGAGCGCACAGAACAACGGGCTCGCGCTTCCAGTTCTGACTTCGCTCGCACATAATGTGGAACTAAGTATAAACACTCACGCTGCAAAGCATTTGCATCGTGGACGCACACGGCGGACGCCGACCGCATCGAAAGCTGGCCTCGTGATGCACACGCCGGAGCGGATTAGAAAGCAGACGAACCGCCGTTAGTAAGTTAATTAACACATCTGGAGCATGGAACAGGTGCCTTCTATTGCTACGTAGCAGAAAAACATAAAACAAAGGTGCCACATCACTTCATTTTGGTAAATTCATCAAAACGTGCCAACTAAAAAAAAAAAAAATTTTGTTGAGGGACTTGTGGACCCCCATTTGAGAACCACTGATCTATTGTATCTCCTCCAGTCAGCGAGGCAGCGAAAGAGGCCGGATCAACGCTAAATAACCTTCTTCCGCTTTGCCCAACAAGGTAGACTGTCGGAGTGAAGTCAATGAAAGGGTTCTTTCAAAACTATGCTAGAGTTCAGGAGACACTGAATGAGCTGCTACAAGGAGAATATTCGATTGCAGACAACAGCAGGGCCATTTTGAAGCGTTATAAGAGGCTTTTGGAAAGGTTTGAAACGCTTCTGCAAAGAACTTGCAGGGCTGCTGCAACGTTCAACGTTTCACACCGCAGGTATCAAAGAGGCTGCAGAGACTCTCTGCGAGGCAATGTCCCGTCTTCGATCTGAAGTCGCGTTTGAAGAGTTGTAGGACTGCACGAGCTCAACTGCAATGTGACTAGATTTGAAGGACCCTTGCAGCGCAAGGCCGACAAAACTGCCAAGAAGGTTTGAAATGAGCAACAAACTTTCTCCGCCAGTTCTACTTGATTGCAAGGCAGCGTTACGGAAGGAGTATACTTGGCGGCTGTAGACTGCATTATGAGCGAAACTCAACGGCGGTTTGAACAGCCTGGTAGGAAGCAGCTAGTAAAACTAGAGAGCACCTTGAATAGCGCCGCCGGGGGAAGACAGTTCACAACAGATGATCTGAAAGAGGCCCTAGGAGCGCATGCATGTGATTTTGATCTGGCCCGACTCTCTGCGCAGCTTTTACTTTTACGCGCTCAACCTGGGCGACATCACCAAGGAATTTGTCTCCAGGACTGCTGAGCGAGCGGCGACCTTTGGTCTTCCTTGAGACGACCAACACACATTGCCTTGGGGCCTATATATAAGTCGTTTACAGTATGTAATTCTCTTGGCTTACTCGTTTATTTCATAGCGTGAATGTCTTTTTGGGATGAGCATTTGAAGAATAATAAACGTGACTCTCTGCAAACTCAATTTTGCAATGCTGTGTATCCTTGTAGGGATTTTGAAATTGTCTGAAGCACTATGCATAAGCGTTTTCGCGATGTTAGAGAGTTTGGATCGTACGTAAAGGCTTTGAGGATCGGAAGGTGCATGTGCAAAACGCAGTATATTGCGTCCTACGCGTGTGCATTTCCGACCCGCAATTACGCAAGGCTCTTGCGTACGAGCCACTAAAACTCTCTACTGTTGCTTAAAAGGAGGAAGGAAAAGTGACTGCACATGCTACGTAAGGAACTTCATGCAAATAATATTTTATTTTTTTTAATAAACAATAAGTAAAAATAAAATAACAAAATTCGGCTCCAGTCCTTCTCTCTTATAATAAAATATATAAAAACAAAATGCTTGACTTCAGCCCCCCCCCCCCCCCCCCCCCCCCCCCAACTCAAAATCTACTTCCGAAATCCCCGCCGGTAACGTCACGCAGAGGAAACGGCGGCCAAACGTTCCGGGCGTAGAAAATCAATTTCCCTTCGAGATACGCTCATGAAGGTGCTGCATGTTTGCAGCGACGCATAGCAAACGCCTCAACGATCGCGATTCCTTTCAAACCCTGACCCACGCAAATGATAATCTACAACGCGGTCAAAAGCGATGTCTTGGGCACCCCGATAAGTCGTTTTTGTTCGCACTGCGGATTATCGGTTTCCCCAGCACAAAGAAGCTAAAAGTGGGAAGTTTCTGTGCGCCTAACAGAAAACGAAGCACTCTTAACATTCTATAGCTTCGCTTAGTGAAGTGGCCTACTAATCCTTGGGGTCTCGTGCCTAGTTGTTCTGAAGAAAAAAAAAAAAGAAAAAAAACTCTTGAACGTTTTTGTTTCGACCTGGGTAGGGAGCCTTCATGTGCGCTTTGCTAGGGTGATGCCACCCTTTGTATTACCACTCGCCGACAAACCAGCAGCCATTTTGTTCCTCGGCGATAATCCGTGGGGCTTATAACCCTCCCGGAATCAAGCACCTTATCTCAGAAGTTCGGAGCAGCGTTGTAGAACCCACGGAGGGAGGATTAGCATTTTCCCCCTCGGATGGGATTACCGATTGACACAAAGGCCACTTTCCGGCGCACGGGGAAATATTGAGAGGAACAAAATGGCGGTGGAAGAGGGTGTGGGAAAGGGAAACAGGCAGTTGGCATCACTCTATGCAAAGCGCACATGAAGGCACTCTAGACCTGGGAGACACACCCAACCCCTTTCGTAACAAGAGTCATAATAAATTTCTACCTCTCTCGTAGGACCGCCGAGCTCGTCAAATAACCCCAGCGAAGCACAAGAAACCGGTCTCTTGCGGCAACACAAAAATATTCCGTAATATAATTTGTACATTCGTCATTTTCACAACACCAGGGTACCTCGTATTTTCCTCGTTCATATTTCTTTCTGTGCGTTATGGTTTTTATGGCGACAGGTGCGACTTCACTCTCGATTTTGAACGTTAGCTGAGAGCAGAGACCCAAAAATTGGGGTGGGTAATGACTCAGGATATTGCAGTGCGTCCCGAGATTTATGTTTTATATAATAAAAAGATTTGTTCTGTGGAGTTAGCAACCCACCGCAGTTCTCCAGCCGTGGTGTATTTGGAAGGCTGTCATGCAGTGAGGGAAAGTGTGACTTCGGTTACCACGTCTAGTTCGAGGTCAGCGGGGCAGGCAGCTGCGAAGGGGCGGCGGAGAAAAGCTCACCGGAGAAAAGCTCACCGGAGAAAAGCTCACCGGAGATAAGCTCACCGGAGATAAGCTCACCGGAGAAAAGCTCACCGCAAAACCGGCAGATGCGGAGAAAAGCTCACCGATATTTTCTTAGCTTAGCTTGATTCTGCGTCAAACTTGGCAATTTAACACAATTCGAATTCGTCACTTCATTAAACATATGTCCTCGTTTTTGTAATATTCTTGAGGTTCACGGGCATATTTACTATTTCCTCAGAAATTAGTAATCACCTATTCTGTAAATTATTGAAGCCGCAAGTATAAAATCAGAACATCGTACACCGGTAAAAAAGGCAACAATTTATTGACAGCTGAGGGTGCGCCGTCGGTACTTCTGTCAGATAAAGAGGTTTGCTTTTGCGAGCCAATATGAATAGCGGTGTGTGAATCGCTTGAGGTCCAAATATTGTGTAGTGCCTAATAGATAAGTAGATGTTTGTTGATGTCATCAGTGTCGGCTACGCTGTTTTCTTTCTGTTAATTTCACTGACAAAACTTTAGCTGCAAGAACAGCTTCGTCGTGTCGTGTTTGTTGTCTTCACTCCGTCGTCGTCGTTTGCGCGGTTTGCATCATGTATAACGTTTACCAACTCGCCCAATTCGCTACCTACCTTACAAACAAAATAGTTCTTATATAGCTCACGAGTAACAACGGTGACAGTGCGCAGCTCTGAGGGTCATGGGTGGCTCACCGTAGAAGGCGCTATCACACAAAGGGAGCGTGTGGAAACACCATGCAGCACGAACGGCTAGAAAGCGTGCATGTCCGTGGAAGCACGAACGGCTAGAAAGCGTGCATGTCCGTGGAAAAAAAGAAGCCTCGATATCCTATTGACAGCTTTATCCTGCTTTCAAATGTTAACAAAAGCTTCAAAGAGAATTTCAGGCACCGTGTTGTTGCGCATGCACTTTTGGATTTTCGGCATTTACACCTTTGATTTTTAGGTTTTAGGCAGTCATCATTACGTTTTTTTTTGTTTTTTTTTTATCTTTTTTCTGTTTTTAAGTTCATAAAGATTTTAGTTAGGCTTTCGTTGCATAGAAAGCCACAAAAAACACTCTCCCGCAATTATTAATTTGGGAGCAATATACCCAATAAGCTTAACA